CATCTGAAAACGGCACCGGCCTCACAGCCGACGATGAATCCAAATTCATTATCAGGCTCCCATGTGGTTGATAAAACGGGTACTCCTTTGTTAAAGGGCCCAAGGGTCTCCTTCAGCCCCATAGATTTGGGTAAATCGGAAAGGATAATGTTGAACAGTTCAAGAGGTTCGAGTAATTTAGTTTTGATTGTTGATTGCAATTTCCATCGGACGATTAGTCCATCAAGAGAAAAACTGATCAATTCATCTTCCTCGTCAAGATTAACTCTCCCCGACCTTTTGTACCAATGAAGTGCGATAATTTCGTCCTGATGAAGATCACCTCGATTCGGTGATCGATGAGAAATCGGTAAATCAACCAGAAAATCTGACGTCGATGATGATAAATTTTCCAAAAGTCGAGTATCAATAACAATTAAATTACCATTGTAGCAACCAAGAACATAAATTGACCCTTTAAATGGATGAGCAATTAACTTGGTGATACAATTATCGACCTCACAAGCGTAAATTGGCCTTGAACTATTGGAATCATTTCGACGAGAAAATAGATTCCATAATAGTAGAAAAGTTTTATGAATACACCAATCAGAATGTCGTGATACCCGGTAGACAACAGCCAGGGTGGTTTGTGGTGAATTCCATGTGATACCGGAGATAATTAAACTCGAAGATAAAGTTGATGATTTAATCTCACTAATCAGATAATCTAAAATTTTTGAATTTAATCTTCTATCACAATTAATACCTTTACCTGAGGCTCCATTCCAATAGTTTAACCACGATGAAGATAATTGATCAAATTGGCAACTATCACGAATCTCTGATTCGATTAATGGACTGATCGATGAAGAAATCTATGTAATCGATGATAATCAATCTTAATTGTTCTGTCTGATTGTCCAGCTGATCCTTTGGTCAATGATAATCTCGAGGATTGAAATGATTGATCAACAATTGACCAAATCGTTTGGACAAATGAATTAACATGTTCCGGTTTTTGTGTTGACACTTCCGATATTTTCAACTTTTCAGTTTGACTCCAATTGTTTTTCTTAATCACTTCATTTTCCGACATCTTTAATTGTAACAATTAACTGCAAATACCCAACAATAAACACTGATTATTACATTGGAATCAGTTGTGAATCAAATCAAAACAAAACGAAACCAATGGTTACCATTGAGTAGATGAACAATTTGGTTTGATTTTTTTTTTCTAATTCTAATTGTAATTATAATTAACAATAATTTCCGTTAAATTGGTGATTTAAATTGTTACCTTTGATTGTTAAAAATAAAGTTCATCCGTTAATCGGTTTCATTGATTATTGAGCTGTGAAGATAAACTCATTTTAATTATCATGTTTACTAAATTAAATGTAATTGTTAAAATGGTTAATGGACACAAATGATCAATTAAATTGTGGTTAAAGTTTAAATTAAATCATTGAGAGATATTAATGATTATTAACAACAATCAAAAGAAAAGACTAAAAATAAATTGTTCATATCGATACTTAAAAACTTACCAATTAATCAGAACCAAATCATCTGGAACAATTAAAATTATTTAGCAGTTTGATTTAATTTAATTGGAACTTATCAATTTGATGAATATGATTAGTTGATCATTTGAAATGATGATTTTGATTGGATCACTTGATTGAAAAAAAAAGTTTTCTTTCCATCAAAAATATTAATTGTTTGAAGAATTAGAATAATTTTTGATAATCAATGAAATCTAATCAATTGTTAATCTTTAATTGTTTCATTTTCCTTTGTTTCTTATTGAGTCCAATCGATGGATCAATGTTATCGATCATCGCTTATGCCACGATCGCTAATCTACTTAGACCCAGGTCACGATATCCACCACAATCGGCACCACTACCACCACACCCTCAGGTACCACAATTACAATACGAATCATCATCACCAGGTCACTCAGGGGTCAGTCAAATTTTGGAACCACAATCGTCACAATCATTTTTAACCCAATCGGTTGTACCATCGGAACGAGGCTTTGGTTATCCAGGAGGAATTACAATCGATAACAATCCAGGTAATTAAATTGATTGAAATTAATTTTCTTCTCTAATTGTTAACCATTTACCTACAATTAGTAACTGATTGGGCCAAGAGTTTACAGTCTCACCCTGAAAGTCAAAAGGTCCCAAGTTTTTATGGTTCCTACCCAACGAAAGGCTACCAAATCTTCAACGGGCCGCCACCGACTTCGGGATTGTTTCGTAAGAAACCAGGATTCCAACCGGTGTTCAAATTTTCTGGTATCGGCGACCATTTTAAAAGTGTCCCAGAAAAGGGTTTATTTCAACTCTAATCGTCCACTGACCAATCAACAATCAACCAATTACTTAATGGGAATCTTGTTACCTCCTTAATATCAGTTACTGAAATTCAGTGCCAATAAAACTCAACAAACAAAATCAATTGATTGTCCATTACAATTATTGATTCCAATTGATTAACAGTTGCAAACGTCATCAATTGATCAGTTAAATTTGCAAAAGTTTCACAATACAAAAGGTAATCATTTAGGTTGATGATTAATTAATCAAAATTTTCATTAATCAAAATCTAAAAGAAAACGGTGAATAGCAAACTGAAGAGAGGTGACAATTTATTTCCACCAAATTAACTCAGTTTAATTGTCCAATTGGTTACACATAGGGAACAAATTTTAATACCAATTTAATTGTGAAGAATTAATAATAATAAAAAGTTCGTAATTAAGTCAATCATGTTTAAGGAAGACAATCAATTGTTTATAAAACGAGTTCCACCCAAAAAGATGACCACTAATCAACTGAATAATCAGGAATGGATCCCAGTGATTAGCGAATATCAATCATTTGATTCAATCAAAAAGAAATCAATTTTCGATCAAATCAACAAATCGAAAGTAATCAAAGTTTTAATTTCATTCGAATTTAATTATTTCACCGAATTCACTAATTGTAATTTTCTTGTTTTTCCTCTCTATTTCTCTCCCTATTGATTATTGATAGAATCGAGTGATTTTCTTAATCAACCTAATTAGAGATTTTTTGAAAACGTTAATCACTTGCATCTGTATAATCTGTTGCTCTCTTCAAATTAAATCATTGGCCAGTGAATATTTCAAATACGAGGTAGTTGAATCTACTGGTCAAGAGAAGTGCAAACAAATTAATCCACCGGATTTTTCATTCTGTTTCAATGCTCTCGGTTTAATCAACGTAACTCAATTATTCATCTCTCGACCTGACGTGGCCTTAATCGCTAAATTGTCACTCGAAAAGTGTATCAAAAAAGGCGACTGTCTTTTCCATGATGAAAACTCCCTGATTCTTGATCTGACCCATGGACCTGCAGTTGTTTATCCTAATCTGAAAATCTCTGAGATTATCTCATTACTTCCCAAGTTGGATAATCTTCTCACCTCTTGTCATTATCTCTCCAACAATTTGACTCTTCTTCGATGTGATCACTCATTTTTCGAGGTTTATCTTTACTCGCAGAAAATTTGCTTCGAATTTGTTTGGTTTTCTTTTCGAGAGAAACGAACACCTAATCAATTAGTACCCGTTTTCCCTTCAAGTTCAGTCCAAATTCCCGGTTTTCTAAATACTAAATTTCTTTCTATCGAATTGAATTTAACTCGATTCCAAGGTAACATTTTATTGGACATTTTGGCCCATCCAAAGTTTGATGTTCCTTGGAATCCAGAAACTGGAACCAAGGAATTGATTATTGGAGACAATCAGTATATTATCCAAGAACTTACCTATCAGAAGATCACTCATCTATCTTTACCTGAGCCCTATGAAAGTAATTGTACTGATTATTCAAGGTCAGAATTTAGATCACGACGAAATTGTCTCCAAAACTGTTCACTGAATCAGTTCATGAAAATCTCCAATTATTATCCTTGGTATTTTACTGTTCGTTCATTTGATGATCATTTTCTGGCCTTTTCTCATGAGAAAAGGCTAATCTATCAACCGCTGATTCAACAGTTAAGTGAAAAATGCTCATCGATTTGTGGACTTGTCGAGTGTCATCATGAAATGTACAACATGATTGGCCTCACTTCCGCTCGACAAGTTTCCCCTGGAATGAAATTAATCAAGATGAGAATTTATCCTCCCTCACAATCTGATACTCTAATTAGAACTACACCAGTTCAAACTTACGAATATTTCTTTGCATCGATTGGCGGTGTTATCGGTGTTTGGTTCGGTTTTAGTGCTTATCAAATGTTCAATTTGATCAATCGATCTATTCCTCAATTTTATCAGTCAATCAAAGACAATTGGGTTAACCGAAGAGCTCAGGTAGTTCAATATAAGCCAACAATTAAAAGATTTTCACCTAAAACAATCAAACGGAAACAAATTAAAATCGAATCAGCAAAATAAACAAAAACAATCAAAATAACAAAATTGAAATTATTCTGAATCACTAATCACAATTATCTCTTTAATACAATTTACCTCTCATTAGAAAAAAAAACCTCAACACATTAATTAACCATTTCTATTGGAAATCACAATCAGTCATTACTCAGTTCTCTTTAATTTAAATGAATTAAACACAATTAAATTTAATAACATTGAACATGATTCCAAAAAGAGAAAATTTAATTAATATCAATGTTGAAGCAAAAATGGAAAAACAATTAGATTAATTGTTATTGTGGAGAGAAAAAAATTAGGCCGCCCCCGGGTGGGCTCGAACCACCAACCTTTTGGTTAACAGCCAAACGCGCTATCCGATTGCGCCACGGAGGCCCTAGAAACCTTCATTCTTAAACCAAATTTTATTCATAGGACTTTCATCTTTGAAGTGCACCTGCTGCCATCTAGTGGATTCTTTAGTATGTTTATCATTGCATTTGAAGAAATTTGATAATTTAAATGAAAATTTGGTCCTAATGATTTTTTTTAAATTTCTTTCTCTTGATTATAATCAAATAAGTTGGATCTAAATTTATGTTTGGTAAAAATGTTTTTATTCAATTGGAGTCAATTATTATTGATTAAGCGTTTTAATTATAAATTATCTTGATTTTGTTTCAATTTTTCAACTTCCCCTTCAACTAATGCTTTTAAATTACTTGGTAATTGGATTTCATCATTTTCACCATCACAATTAACATTTTTTTCACTCATTTCATCAATTTCATCAGATAATTTAGCAGTAACATTATTACAATTTCCACTTATAGATTCAGAAGATTGTTGATTATTATTAATTGATTGAAAGTTTGATGACGAAGACGATGGTTCGTTTTGATTGTTATTAGAATTGACAATTATATCATCAAGATCTTCGAGATGATACATTTCCGATTTAATATTATCCTTCATTAGAAAGAAAACTTTTTCTCGAGCTTTTAATTGTTTGATCTTTTCCTCTAATTCCTCTAATCTTTCACCAAGCAGTCGATTGTTTTTCCTCTGCAAAGCGAGAGCCGATGATTTATCAGTTAACGATTCAAACAGAGCGATTACCAAACTCTTCAAATGAACCAAAGTGGCCTGAGATAGTTGAAGATTATTTAAATTGTTGGAAGCGATGAAAGCTTGAACCTGTTTGGATGAGATAACATTGGAAAGAGCTTGATGATCAGCCAACAATTTAGACTTAGAATCCGATGATGACGACGATTTCAACGATGAAAACATGGAGCTCGATGTCGACGGGGTTGACTTTTCGAGGATGTTTCGATATTTGGAACATAAACTTTTCAATCTTTTCTTTTCCTCCTCTAATTGTGATATTTTCTCCCTAAGAAAATTATTCTCATTGATCAAACTGTCAATATCAACAGTTTTCGTATCATTGATATTATCGCCACTTTGATCATCTGATTGCTCTCGAAGTAAATTATTCAATCGTCCATTGAGCCGTTCAGCTTTCGCCTTATAAGCATCTCTAATCATGATTAACTCTTCCTTTTCATCGAGAAGTGATTGCATGTCCTTCTCGAGTAAACAATTACGTTGTTTAATCATCTCTAATTGTGCCACCAGTGATTCCTTATCATCTTTATCCTTAATCCATGGTATCGATGAGGAGTTAATTGTTGTCACCACCAATGGTGAACTTGGTGTTGGACAATCGGTTGATTGTCCAACATTTTTATCAATCAAATCACTATTTAAATTGGTCCCTTTATTGTTGCAGATACTTGATAAATTGTTACCACAATTACTGACATTATGATTACTATTATTGCCATTGTTGATTGTTGTTGTTATCGGTGTTGTTGTTGATGATGATGTTGATGATGATGGTGGTGGTGTCATTGGATTATTGTTACTATTAGTTAAATGTAGATTAACTAATTGTCCGGGTCTTCTTTTCATTGAGTTAATTTGTCCTCGGAGCAATCGGACATCACCTTCAGCGTCGATTAATTTAGTTTTAACCTCTTCCAATTCATAGAGTAACATTTTGTTCTGTTTGTTTAATTGGCACAAAATTTGAGCGAAACTGGCACTGGTTAAATTGTTTGGATCTTCGTTAATTCCCATGAAATTAGCACCCAAACCTTCAATTCGCCTTTTAAGTCCACTATATCTTTCCTTAATTTGATCGTACATCAATTTATATTCATCACGTTCTCGTTTACATTCAAGTAGATCTTGACTTAGAATCACTGAGGCTCGAGCTTTAGAATCTAATTTACATCGTAAATTGCTGATCTATTTTCGTCGATTAAAAGGTCAAAAATGAAAGAAAACATAAAGAAAAATAAAGAATAGTTAACAGTTAACAATTAATTAGAATAAAAAGATTCATTTAATCAAAACTCGAAGAAGAATAAAAATTTCATTCGATTTGTTTGTTTACTATCATGTAATGAATATCGACAATATCTCACTGGGAGTGGGAATTTAATCTAATCTGGATTTAAAGAGAAATTAAACTGAATTCTCAATTAGAGTAAAATACAAATGATAACAATTAAATTTGATTGAGAGAAAAGCAATGTGATCTAATTGATTAATTTTCCTCTTCGATTTCGATAAAATCAATTGTTGTTTACATGAAAATCTCAGCATTTCACTTACCTCATTAAAAGCTTCTTGGAATTGTTTACTTTGATTATCGAGATTAACATTGGACATTCTGTAGTTTATTAACTTATATTGTAACAATTAACGATTGAATTTTGATTAACTGGGTAACAACTTTTGATTACAATTAGCAACCTAAATAACCATATGGATACCACGAAGACAATGATATAAAATGTTAATATGACAGATGAAAAAATCTATAGGATTTTTGGTTATAATGATTAAGCGGTTGATTCAAGGTTGATTAAATTGCTAACCACAATTAGAATACAACAATTAAATGATTAGGCGATTTTTTCTTCTTCCCTCATGTTGATTAATCAAAATATCGTAACAATTAACGGTACATTAACCGTTCAAACGTATCAAGAGTGGTCGTTATTCATTATCTCTCATTTCTTAAATTAATTGTTTCGATTGTTGTGATTGATCAAATTATCAATTCGTTTCTTAATCATTATGATGATTATTTTCTTTCATTTTGGTTTTGATTGTAACAATTTGAGAGATTTTTGAAAAAACCGGTTAAGATTTTGAGCTAATCTCATGTTGTTTTATCCGCGTGTTGATTATTGATCATTGAGTTTCACTTGATTGTTTTTAATTGTTGTTAATTTATTGTGATAAGTTAATTGTTTTAGGTATGAAACTAAATGTTGATGGTTAATTGATGTTATATTGGGTTGGTAGTCGAGTAAAATATTAGGTTCAAATGAGAGGGTAATAGTTAATATAATTGTGGTTGTCTTAAGATTTGTATTAATATCAAATATTATAAAACAATATTGACAAAAGTGATTAACTTTCAGATGATCTACTTGATGATTCCTCTTCGTCTTCATCTTCAGGTGATGTTGATGATGATTCAGCATCTGAATCGGAATCGGAATCAGAATCAGAATCAGAATCGGAGTCACTTTCGTCATATTGTCGATTAGGATTTGAGAATAAGCCATTATCATTATCAGATGATTCTTTGTCTTTTTCGTCTTCAAAACGTGTAGGCCTAATAAATAGAGAAGAACAACAATTTAGTAAATGGTTATAATTATAGAAAAGAATAAAGAAAATTAAATTAATTGTACCATTTGCCTTCTTCTTTAATGTATTTGATTTGATCTTTCAACAAGATTTGGACAATTTCAGCTTTCACTTTGTCACCTTCTTTTATGGGCTCAACGACAATAAAGTTACCTAAAGTTAAAACAGGAAAACAGAAAACAATTAAACCACAATAATTAGAAAACAATTAAGAAAATATAGAAAATCTCACCTCTTTTAATCCAAACATTTTTACGGAATTTTGTTGGCATACTAACAAGATACTTCTCTCCATCAGGTGATTCTACCTCGTGTAAGTTATTCCCTCGACTAGCGATCACCTAAACAATTGAAAGACAAATAATTAACACTTGATTGGACACAATTAACCAACAATTGATCACAAACCTTAACAATATAAGCTGGTTCCTCAGGAACAAAGTAAGTCTCAAGAACCTCCTTGGTTACATATTTACGTTTGGTAGCCTTAGACATCCTTAATCCATTCAAGATGATAAGAAGAAAAAACCAAAAAAAAAATCAACAATTGATGAAGAAAAACGGACAATTATTGATTTAGATTAAGTTATACACTTAAACAGTTAATTAATAAAGATGATTAGTTGATAATTTGGGAAGAAATTAATTTAAAATGACAATTTAAATGAAGAGTGAAAATGATAAACAACAGACAGAAAATGTAAACAAATGGGAAAAATGAATGAGTCTCAATGAAGAGCAAAATGTTCAATGGAAATCAAATTGTTCAACCAACTCTATTTATACTCGGAAATTGATCTGATTTAGAATTTTTTTTTTCTTTTCTACAGAAAAAAAATCCAATCAATGGTAATTAATCAATCGGATAAACGGTTTTGTCTTAACTTATTAAGCTAATTAACTAATTGGTTTAAATGGACAATGTGTTCATCTCGGTTGAGAGTTTAAATTAAGCGGATTTTTTTTTCTTCCAACTTTTATCAATGTTAATCTAAATTCTTGGGTTGAGGATTAGTTTTAATTGTGTTGATTAACTTTATGATTTCTTTTTTTTCAATTGTTTGACCTGTGGATTTGTTGCATAATTAGATGGCGTTAATTGTTTGACAAAAAATTATTCTGAGGGGATCAACGTTTTGGAGGAATTGTTGTTGGAAAACTTTGATTGCATTAATTGTCGTTTTAATTGTCATTTGAATTGTATGTTTTTATCACATTATGATCATTTGTAAAGGATATATTATAGAGATAGATTTTAAATCCTTTATCAAAATTATCAATTTCACTTTTATCAGGTAATTTAAATGATTCATTTTCTCTGGTTGACCAAATCATCCCAATCGAATCAACTAATTGTACAAATTTACGAATCATTGTTCTAACAATTTTTGAATTGTTATCATCTCGTTGCATGGTGATAAATTCAATTCTTTTGATAAATTTAACGAAAGAATTTCTTAAATCTTGATAATTACAGGCAGTCTCAAGATTCTGGTACAATTGGATAACCTGTTGATGAACATTGTTCATGATGAAATTGTATAAACTGTTAGCAATTAGTAACAATCGATGACGAAGTAAATACAATTTATGAATGTAACCAGATTCTCTGTGAATTATGCCTCGGGGAAGTCGAAGATTGTCCAAAATCCAACGACAGTAAGTTAGAAGGAGTAAAAATTGGAAAGCCTTGTCATAGATTAACTTTGAACTATTGTCGATAATTGCTCTTGAAGTCCAATCCATTTCTTCATAAATAAGATGAATATTTTCAAGAATTGTAAGTTTTTTAACTCTCTTTCCGGTGGTCAGTTTCTGTTGAGATAGAAAAGCGGTCACATCATGTTCGGTAAACGTATAATGTTGCCAGTTAACATAATGATCGGGTTTGGTTGAACCTTCGGTTATGTCGGAAAAAACGGCCTCAAAGTAATGTCTCATTTCCGGATTGGAACGTTGAAGTAAAAAGTAATCATTAAAAGTGGTCAAATAAATATGATAAGAATCTTTTGAATGGTTAATTGCCCATCGGCTAATTGGATCGATGAATTTTTCCAATGTTGTTGTGAGACTTTTTTGTAAGGCAAGTTCAAAGGGAATACCAAGTCGAGTATAATCAACGGGAAGATATTGTTCACTAATTGTTTTCTCATGATCTAAATTAAGGTCCATTTTGATAATATCATTTTCCAATTTATCACCAATGGTTAAAATGTCATATTTAAATGGTAACAATTTACATTTAGACTTTTTCTCCTCCAATGTTGAGTCTTCTTGAATCTTCTTGTCTTTCATTGATATTGGATGTGGATAAATTTTCTTCAAATGATCAAGAAAATGATCAAATAAACAGCCCTTTGGATAATCAATTTTGATTGTGTGATTTCGTTGTTCAAAAATTGAAATTAAAAGTCTTGATTTGATTCCCATGCAAAGGTAATCCCAAGATGAATTGAAAATGGTTGGAACTGGATTAGTTGAGTCAAATTGTAACACTTCTGACCAGAAATGATCAGGATCACAATTACAATTTGTTTGGAAGAAAAATTCACTTCTACAATCCTTAATGATTCCATTGGTTAAAAGTGATTCAATATAATCAAGGGTTGGCCTGAGTGTTGAGATTAAAAGTTGAGAGACAATGTTAAACTCGTGGATACGATCAAGGTAAACAAAATCCATGAGAATGTTTAAAATTTTACCAGAACAATCATGGCCACCATTTAGAGCTAAATTAATCTCATAGAGAGTATTTATCTTGACCATTAGGAAATCACTTCTCTCATCGGTAAGATAATCGGAGAAATAGTTAAGTCTCATATCCAATTTATGAGCATCACAAAGTAATTTGGCAACACATTGATTGAAAATATCTCTTAATGTTAAAGAATATGTAATCCGGGAAAGGGTTTTGTCTTCTTCATTAAGAAGACATTTATTAATTGAATCAAGAAGAAATGAAACTCGGCTTCCTAATTGTGAATAATTGGATAGAACAGATTTGGAACATTCTTCAGTCTCATTGATTAAACTAATTCCAGCCTTTGGATAAATAAAACCATCCACAGTTTTAAACAATTGAGATTCAACACCAGTTAATATTCTGTTAAAAGAGAAAACAATTAAATCAAAAATTTCAATAAGAAACAATTAAAAATCTATAAACATTTACAACTGATGAAAATTTTTTTACCCAACAAGGTGGAGATTCAATAACTTATGGTCAATCTCTTGGGTTGGATGAAGTAATGACATCAATTCTTTGAGACTTAAAGGTTCTTGGGGCCTTAATTGGAACAATTTAATTGGATCCATTGAAATAAAATAAATCAGTCAATTAAATTGAAGGGAATTAAAAGAAAAACATTTTCAAAGTAAAAACGAAACAAAAACAAAAATTCAAACCGAAAACCGAAAAGCGGGAAACTCATTTAAAGAAAAAAGTGGCGACATCTATGGAGATTTTTTTCTACCAGCGAAAAGTTGATTTAATTAAATTTAATTTCTCTTGATTATTTTGGATAATTAATGGAACAATTAAATGGCTTTTTTTACTCTTAAACCATTTGAACTTCCAAAAACGAAGTCAATTTGTGTATTCAATTGATCAGAAAATCCTGAATAAAACAAATTCAACTTTAAGAACTCTAATTTCTTACCAAAAGTAATCGATACAGTGACAATTTATTAATTGTTTAGAAATGGAAATTTTCACTAATCATAACTGTAAAAGTGTAATAAAATTTGGAACAAATAAATTAGTTCAAATTTAGTTGGATAGAAAAAATCATTTATATAAAATCGTATTACAATTAAAATACAATGAATGAATTAAGTTTAATTGTTGAAAGTTAATTAGATTTAAAATTATTTTAGATTTGATTTTGATGAAAATTGTGAATTAAACCAAGATTCTGATAACGTCCTTCGTAATTTAAAGTAATTAAATCTAGAAATTCGCTTAGGTGATGATTTAACAATAGATTTTGATTGTTTCAATTGATTAACATCATCAATAGTTTCTGATTCATTTTTCATTGGAACAATAATTTTTTCATTAATCAATTGATTGTTATGATTAATAACTTGACTGCTTTTCTCACCAATATCTGAATCAATATTTTCATTTTCATCAATTAAATTGGATCCTTTAAATGGCTCAATTATTTCATAGATATCATTAAAATCAGTGTTGTAATTGTGATTTGATTGTTCAAGTTTTTCCTTAATTGCTCTGATCTCTTCATAAATGTGATCCTTATTGTCTTGTAACGTTGTAACTGTTGCAGGAAGTGAAGAGGCCAAATTTGATTGTTCAAAGGGTAAGTAATTGGATTTAGTTGATGGGATCCATTGTTGTTTACAATTAGTGAACAATCAAGAAGTGATGACGAAAGATTATCAATAGTATTCAGAATTGATTGTTGATTACTTGCAGGAAAACGTTTAATTGTTGCATAATCAGGTGACGGCGATGATGATGATGATGATGAACATGATGAAATCGATTGATTGTCAGTTGATTTAGTTAAATTAACCGGACGAGGTACATCATAGATAACATGATGATCAGATCCTGATGATGTCCAGGGAATTGAAATATTGGTTGACCATGATGAGGATAAATTGTAAGACGATTCAAGAGGTTGATTTAAACTGAATAAAGATGATGATGAATTACTTGTTGTAGTTGATGAAGTTGATGGTGGATTAAATGAAGAACGATTAGAAGTTGATGATTGTGATTGATTAGAATCAGGTGAATAATCTAGATCATCAAATCGAGTCATTAAATCATATTCGGATGTTGTTATGTTCAAATTTTGGATTAACTCATCACTATAGCTTGACCCTTGTGATTGATGTTGATTACCTCGGACACGATTAAATTGACTAATCAATTCGGATGATTCTTCACAGTAAATCAATATATTACCCAGGCCAGTTGAACTTGTATCGGTGGTCATCATGTTGACAACTTTATTATTGTCCTTTAGGTTAACCTGTGGGACCAGTTTAAAGGACACACTGGACATTGTCCATTCTTGTATTATATGTCCAGTCTGTGGACAGGTTAAAGTTACCTTGTCCGAGGTGATGGTCAAGTAGCCACAAACACCAAGTAAACCAGCTCGATAGGACATCTCATTGTCAATTATGGACACTTCAAAGACTCCACCTAAAGCTGATCAATTGTGATTAAGAAAAAAAAATTCACAATTAAAAGTCAATCAGTTAATAAAACAATCAAATATCAATAATTGGAAACACTGTTATCATTACCTTGATGTTGATTAATAAATGACAAAGATCAATCATCTTGATGACAATTAAAAAAAATACTCAATATACTCAATCATTTTAACTTTGATTCTAAATTGTTATTAATTTGTGATTACCTTGATTTCATTGCTTATTAATTAATCTCTCTATTGTTTAATTTGATTATGATTTGAATGTTGAATCAATTGCTGTTAATCGTTTGATGATCAATTGCGAAATTTTTAATTAACTAGATTGTTTGGTAAAAATTAACCTTCTCAAAAAAGCCTTGAATAAATTTTTGAGTATAACAATCAAATCAAATGACAATTAAGAGAAATATTTTCCAATTTTAGGAACAATTTACTAATTGTGACTACAATTATCTTTTTCAAAAGATTACCAATAACCTCATATGATGAATGTTTTAATTATCTAGTTAGGTTGTTGATTCTAATTAATTTCTCATTCTTCAATTATGATCAAAGTGGGAGTAGGTTAATTAATCTAATTAAGTGTTTGAAAAATTGATTCAACAATCAGTTGAAATTAGATTGTGATTAAAATGAAAAAGTAATGATAACCCATTAAAATGAAATGAGTGAAATGTAAATTAATTGTATTGCAACAATTAAGAGAAAACAAAAAGAAAACAAAAATCAAATCAAATCAAATTGTATTGTAATGACCTTTGTAATTAAAGCTTCAATGAGTTAATTATTATCAACGTAATTAGTCAAAAAATCAGCAATTAATCACGAGGATGAAATTAACAATCATGATGAACCAGAAAATAAAATGATTGAAATTTTTGAACCAAAGCAATTAAATGACAATTAGTGGGGGTAGAATATGAATTGAATGGAAAGTTCAACGTCCAAAATGTTCAAAACTAATCAACTAATCAAATTAAATTGTACAATAATTACCTTTGGATAAAGAGATGATCGGATTAGCAGGCCAAAGTAGATTACGAATTGATCTGATTAACAATTGACTTTCCGTCTCAGAATCACCGGAAATATGAACCAAAGGTTTACCATCGCCATAGATTGTGAAGGCATGAGGCTTTTTCCTTGATCTAAAACCACAAAAAAAAAGGTCAACAATTAAACCAAACAATAAAGGAAATTGTGTTAATTGTGGATTATATCAACAATTAACCAAAGATTAAACTAACTTGCATCTAAAGATTATCGTCCTTGAGGGATTAAGTATTTCTTGTATAACGAATCCTTGTGACGTATCTTTGATTTTGGTACTTTTGAAGATTGTCAATATTAATCTATTATTATGTGTTCGACTTGTAATCTCACCAATTTGTGGCTTAATTAGTAACAATTTAGGTGTCCAAACTTTCCAGGCACCAGTTGAACGGACATTGGCCGGTAATTTGACACAGAAAACACCCTTAACTGCAACATCGACTAAATCATGTTGATTAAATCCAATTGCGGACATTATATCCTCTTCCTTGTTGTTTAACATAATCAATTGTAAGTTAATCTTGTACACAAACCAAAAAAATTACAATACATACAATTTAATTCAATCTAATTAATTGTTATAACAATTTATTCAATTGTTTACATTTTGTTTTCTCATTTACTTTTAATGATTAACTTTAATGTGCTTCTTGTAATGTGATGTTTCATTTTATTTTGTTTTGATTACTTCTTATCTTAATTGTGGCAATTGATTACAATTGAACTTTTGATCAAATGTAATGTTAATTCAATTAGCTAATTGTTAATCTACACATGATAATTTATCTTTACTATTTGATTAGGTTTACAAGTTAATCAGATCTTTTTGTTTGTCATGTTCATTTTAATTGTCGAAAAGTTTGTAAGTTTAATTAACTACTCACACCCTTTGACCATTCAGATTTAATTGTTATCTAACAATTAATCATTCCAAGTACAATCAGGCAAATTTCATTTAGCTTGTCTCACTTTATATTAATTGTTATTATTTATTCAGGACAATCAGTTGATAAAATTATCACATTTTTAGGTTTACATGTTTTTATTTACTTCTTCTCATTTATATTACTTTACCAGAATTAATAAATTGTCATCTTCTATTGTAACAATTAACAGGTAAATCTAATTTAAATGAACTTTCAACAATTAGTTTGCCTTTTGATCATATTTGTATTTTATCTGGTGATTGGAGCAATTGTTTTCATGACTCTGGAATCAGAGCAATCAACAGAATCAGTGGAAATCCAGGAAAGGAGAACTTTAATCCGAATTAAAGGTGATTAATAACAATCAAAGAATTTAATCAACTAATTAGAATTAGTGTTCATTTAAATTAATTAGATATTCTATTGAGTATGAATCTAAATAGTGGATTGAATGATCGGAAACGCGATAAAATGTTGACTCTAATCGAACGGGAATTGACCTTCAACTCTGAATATTCAATGAAATGGGGCTTTTTTAATTCCCTTTTCTTCACGATAACGGTGGTCACTACTGTCGGCTATGGTCATTTGTCACCTTTGACCTCTTCAGGTCGCATATTTTGTATAGTCTACTCGCTATTGGGCATCCCTTTGACCGGAATAATATTGAACGAGATCGGTGATCGATTTAGTGACTGTTTTCTCCATGAGGTGATCTGACTAGACTGAAAACTTTTTTTTCTATTCGAAAGTACTAATGTTCTAATTCTTGTTTATTTTGATATTAATTCATAAATTCTTTGTTCTCATCAGATTAATCGAATAAAAATCAATTCGAATCATTTTCTTTCTGATAAAATTTTTATTCTTCTTCGTGGTTTGATTTTCTTTCTTTCCTGGTTCATTGGATTTATTATTATTCCTGCTCTTGTTTTTCATTCTATCGAAGGTTGGACTTTCCTCGAAAGTTTCTATTACTGTTTTGTTACCCTTTCGACCATAGGATTCGGTGATCTAGTTCCAGGTTTGTTCAGTTTCGAACTCGAAAACATCGAAAACTTTTTTATTCTCCGATCATAATCTCAGGTCAATTTGATAGAAGATGGAATTGGATTTATAAGATTATAATCGTTTGTTGGATTATCTTAGGATTTGCTTATTTATCAATGATTCTTAATTGTATTAAAAAAGGATTTCAAAGTGAACACTTAACGAATGTTGTCCGCACAATTAAACGTGTACCTAAAAAGTATACCTGGACCAAGAATTTTAATCAGTTCAAAATTACAAACCAAATATCCAAACGATAAAATCCCTAAATCAATATACAAATAATTACTTATCCCTTGCGAAATTTAAAATAATTACAATTAAATTAAATCACAATTAAATTCTTACCAAAGGGATTGTAAGAAAACCTTTTCTTCAAATCCAACAAATCAATTCAACTCTAATGACCATAAATTGCGAAAGATAAACAATTAAATTTTCTTGATTATTTTCATTTATTTTCGCCAATAATCATCAATCAATTTTAATTAAGAAATTAAATTCTAATTGAAATTCGAGTTTGGATTCATTTCGTCGGATCGGATACTCGGAATATCCAATGAATTTAAAGTATATCTTTTTCGGTTTGTTTACTTCACTTTTCTTATTAACTATTCTATTCTTGTTTTACCTTTTGTCAATTAAACCGAACAATTAAGAAGGTAAGTTGGTAATTAATCTCTGTTCTAATTGCCGGTGGATTGATTGTCCAATTGTGTATTGTTGTCATTTGTTTTTTTCTTTTTCTATTCTTTTTTGTTTGTTACTCTATATATATGTTTAGGTTTGGATTTCTTATTGTTGGTGATGGAGAAAAAAAGTGAAATGGAACAATTAACAGAGGATCAAATTTCGGTTATTCGGGAAATTACTCAAGTTGATAAATTGGTTGAAGATTTAAAATTAGGTAAAGTTAATGGTTGTTATCTTAAAGCCTTTCGAACCATGGATTTAATTCAAAAAGGTGTACAAGGATGTTCATGGAAATCAGCTCAAGATTTGATCGCTATTTTCACTTGTCTGGGTGATTTACTTTCTAAAGCTGATCCGGTTGAACGTGTACCAACTAATATGATATTGAGAATTTTAAAAGGAATAAGAGACGAATATGTTACAGCTTCGGGTAAAAAGCCTGGATCAAAGTCGACCAATTTTGATACGGAAGAATCTCTAACCAAAATGATGATCAGTGATGATGCGGTTATCCATGATTATACCCAACCATTAACCGATCTAAAGGAAAACATATTAGACTATCTAAATGAATTAGATAGTGAATTGGAAACTTCCATTGAAAATATCGCCGCTAAATCAAGTGAACAAATCACCTCTGGTCAGGTAATATTGACCACAGGTAAATCTAAATCAGTTGAAGCTTTCCTCAAGTACGCAGCTAAAACGATGACATTTCAAGTAATCGTAGCTGAATCTGAACCTTCAGGTAATGGAACTGAATTAGCTAATAAACTGGCTGAAGCTGGTATATCAACTCAACTGATTCCTGATTCAGCCATTTTTGCAATCATGCCAAGAGTTAATAAGGTTATTATTGGGACACATTCGGTGATGGCTAATGGAGGCCTTAAGGCGATCAGTGGTTCCTATGCTTTGGCTTATGCGGCTAAAAATCATTCGGTACCATTAACTGTTTGTACACCGATATTTAAGATTACACCTAATTATTTAATCTCTCATGATCAGGTTGCTTTCAATAAATTTGTTTCACCTCATCAAGTGTTACAATTTAACGAGGCTCCTTATGCCACCGAAACTGAGGTCGTTAATCCAGTTTTTGATTATGTTCCCCCTGAATTAGTTAATGGATTTGTAACTAATTGGGGTTTTTATACACCTTCATATGTTTACAGACTATTAAGTGAATTGTATCATAGGAAAGACTATTTATCTTGAAAGTGATTGAGAAGTGGATAATGATGAAAATAAATTTGATTTTTTGTTGGATGTATTTTCTCAAATTAAATTTAATTCAAAATTATTCATTCCCTAAAAATGTGTAAGCACTTACTCTACACTACAACAATTGATTAGATTGATAGAATTTTTCTTTTTGTTCTGCTAAAGATGGAAGAGGAAAAGAGAAACAAAAAACTGAAAAGGATTTCTCTCATATTATAAGAGTCAATTGCTCTTTTTATGGTTATTTTTTCTGTTCCATTGGTAATTGGGTTGTTTCAACTGCAATTGGTGAGTGAAAACGGAGATAATTTGTTTACCAATGATATTTGTAACGTCTATGGTGATCTGTTGAAGGTAGAATAATTTAAAGAAAAGAATTAGGTTTGAAAAGTGAAAGAATATCTAATGATAAAGTAAAATGTACTTACGAATGTGATGCAATTGACCAACATAACCCATGATTGCAGTAATTAAGATGACAGTAAAGGCCATATTGGATCTACTTCGGATAGCGGTAAAATGAGCAGCATTGGTTCGATGAAAGTGTCGGGTAATAGCAGCAGCCATCGAGTGTGGTGTCATTTTCCGTCGCATGATCCATGATGGTAATTCACCCAATTTAACCTGCATCAATGGAGTATCTTTGAAAGCATAATTAATCCTTGGATCATAAGGACCATGAATGGCTCTATTATATTCTGGAGGATAACAGTTCAAAGATTTCCAATAGTTGATAATTGGATTACCAGACATTGTGGAATTAATAATCAAATTCTCGCACCGGAAACAAAAAAAATTAACCAACAGAGAAAACAATTAACCTTAATTGTCCAGAATCAAAATAGAGAGAAGAAAAAATTTTGTTTACAAGGGCAAAAGGGAACGTTTCCTAATAACGATTAATAGAAAACTGATTTTCTTTTCCACGAGATGGCGCTGATGTTTCGAGTTCTTTTTTAATTTTGTTGAACCAAAACTTCAATTAACTTAAATTGTAAATTTGACACAAAAAAAATTCAATCCAACTTGAAACTCAATTAAATGAACATTCAACTATTTGCAAATAAATTCTATTCATGGGTTTGAATGAATTTATCAACCTTTAACTGTTCACAAACTGTTCAACTAAATAATTGACAATTTGGGGCAAAAAGTTAATTGAAAAGTTTGAATTTGTTTTAACCTTTTCTTCAAATTAACGTTTGATTTTGTACTTGACTTTAATTTTCCAAATGGAAGAAGAAAAATTATTTAAACAAGTAACTATTCCTTTCCGTTTGGAAAAGTCGTTAATTGTGATTCCTCAAATTAGGATAATAAGAAAATCAAAATTGTATCTTAATTGTTACTCGGAAAATTACATTGGCATTTGTGAGAGATGATTAATTTATTATTCTTTGAAGGAATTTGCTTAGAAATTGGGATAAGATTTGAGAAAATTATTCCTTTGATCAACTAGTCTTTAGATTGTTAGTTAATTGTGATCAATTGTTTCAAGCTGAGAATGAAAGTCACTTCATGTCGCCACATTCGTTGGTTGAACTTCGTTGGAGAGAATAACCGAGGGCGTAACCCGCCTCGCGAATTTCGAATAACCGATTTGGCGAAAAAAACGGTTTTGGATTTTGAATTTTGTTTGTATTTTCTCATTTTCTCTTTATCTTCTCATTTGTAAATTATTCTAATTGGTTTAGAAATTAATTTTTATCTCCATCTTCATCTTCATCATCATGAGTTTTCTTGAAGATATTGTGAACAATTTTAATCGTTACAAATTAACAGCAGATGAGAAATTAAAGATTCCCGGTTTACTTCAATTAACTTCCATTGTCTCAGGTAAATACAAACAGTTTTTTTGTTAATATTACCTAATCTAAATTAACTCAATTTATTTAATTTTAACCTGATTTAATTTTCTAAAAACCAATCAAATAAAATTCTATTTATAATTTATTTCCTTTTCTTTCAATACTTTAACCTGTATCCTTATCATTCCATTAACATTAGCATGAACATCAATTGTTTTCGAATAGAATTTTCAATCTTTTCATTTTCTTTTCTTCTCCGCCATTATTATTATATTTTCTATTTGATAACATTATATAATACATTTCTATTTCTATTTTCATCTTTTTCTTTTTTTTCTTTTTTACCTTTTTTTCTCTCTCTACAGATCGTCTTTATTTTGCCACGGTCACCAACGGCTTCCCTCATTTTAACCAAGATAGTTTACCTTATATTGCCGTTAGTAATGATGAATTTCAATACAAGGGGTTCGATAGAGATTTTGGTCCCTTCAATTTGGCAGTTGTCTATTTATTTTGTGAGAAAATGTCCCGGATAATGGATTCATCTCCATCTAAACCAATAATACATTATACATATGGTTCTGACGAAGATAGAGTCAACTCAGCTTTTCTAATTGGTTGCTATGCTATAATTAAACTCGGTATTGATTGTAATCAAGTGATGATTAAATTAAGAAAAAATAGTCCAGCTCGATATCGTACTTATCGTGATGCATCTTACTCTTCATGTGATTTTGGTTTACCTTTACCTGATTGTCTTAAAGCTATACAAAAAGCAATTAAATCAAAAATTTATGAATACTCTAAATTTGATTTAGCCGAATATCTTTTCTACGAAGAAGTTCGTAATGGTGATTTAAATTGGATTATTCCCGGTAAATTGATTGCTTTCTGTGGACCAACAGAAGGTGGTCTTCTTTTACTTAGTAACGTTTTCAGTTACAGTCGACTTCCACCCGAATATTATTTTAGCTATTTTACCAAAAATGGTGTCACAACGGTGGTTCGACTTAATTCACCCGTTTATAGTGGGAAAATTTTCTCTGAAGTTGGAATCCGTCATATTGATCTTTACTTTGATGATGGAACTACTCCAGACTTATCGATTGTTGATAAATTTCTCGAAGTTTGTGAAGGTACTTCAGGAGTAGTCGCTGTTCATTGTAAAGGTATTATTATCATCATTATTATTATTATTTATTCACGATTTATATTCATCATCATTAACAATAACTCATCTTTCTTATATCTCTACATGAATAGCTGGCCTTGGACGGACAGGAACTCTCATTGCATGTTATCTAATGAAACACTATAAATTCACGGCAGCTGAAGCAATTGCATGGATCAGAATATGTCGACCAGGTTCAATCATTGGTCCTCAGCAACAATGGCTGGTCACGTGAGTTGGAATTTTCTTTCAATAATGAGCAGAAAGAAAAGAATAGAAAACTAATAGTAATAACATGAGAAAGCGAAAGAAGAAGCGAAAGACAAAGATATTTATAAATAACTTGTTACAAAAAAAAAGGTTTCAAGGTTACAGGGAAGAGAAGAAACCAAAATTTTGTCTGTTCATTGAAAATTAATACAAAGTAAGAGAGGAGGAGTTGATGGGAGGACATGAGAAGTAACTTGACTTGACTCTACATGTATAAACAAACTTACATGATAATATTAAGTATTTTCTGTTATTAGATCTCCCGGAAAGAAATGTTGATTTCCTTTAGCTTTTTCTTTTCTTTCTCATTTCTTAGAAATAGTTATCCGCCTCTCAGTCAGAGGCTTCTCACCACCCTCGTCAACCCACACTCACTTTTAGGTTAATTACTGACATTAAACTTGAAGCTTCATCTTAATCTTTATGACAACAAGATCTTTCCCCCCAAGTATTAACCGATTTCTCTTTCTTTATCCTCGTAATTCTTGTGGGAGGCTTGATTTTTTTTAGAATGAGTAACAATTATGATACTGGCGGTCGTTTCTCTGCTTCTCTTGTAAATCTTACATGTTATTCTGTATCTTTGTCATTAATGAATTTACTTTTTGTTTTACTGTTTTAAAAAGAATGCAACCTCGTCTATGGCTTGCTGGAAGTGCGATTCATGACTCGAAGCGTGAAAAGTCAAAGAAAAACGTTACCAATGGAGGAGATACTATTATAAATGAGAAAGAAAAAGATAAAAAATCTGATAGTCTTTCCAAAATTACCTGTGAATTTAAACGAATTGAAATACGTGATGGAGCAAATAAATCTAAATCGTCAGAAAAATTAACAACTTCAACAAAAAGCACAAACTCAAAGGATAGTATCAAATCAGATCAGTCGATTAAACTGAAAAGTGGTCGTCCAGATACTCGAAGTAATCGTCAACCTAATTCATTATCAACATCATCTTCTACTTCCTCATCATCAACAACTTCAGCCTTGTCATCAAACAACAACAACAACAACAACAACAACGACAATAACAATGATGAGAGTATGAATAACAGTAACACTGAAACACAAGGTGATCGTTTGAATAGACTTAAATTGAATAGATCAGCATCTCAACCCAATGAAAGGATAATCCCAATAAAGATTGAAACTCGAGCTGAATCTGCTATGAAACACAACAACAACAACAACAATAACAACAATAATAATATTAATGAAAGTATTATTATCATCAAAAATGATCATCGTCACAATACTAATGATAAAATTAGTAAAAATAACAATTCCATAGAAAACAAATATTCCAGCCTAAATAATAACATTTCAGGTCAACACCATCATTACAATACTCGTTCATGTGGACGATCCAATGGAACCTCTAAATTAACATTATCATCATCAGAATCGGCATCTTCATCACCTGCAATTCGTAAATCATCTCGAACCTCAAAAGGGTAAGTTAACAATCAATTATGATAATAAATAGTTTATATTATTATCTTTCCATTTCCAGGGTTACATAATATAACAATTATTGTTAATTACATATTGAGAAGCAGAATAACCAATTTTAATTGGAGACTTTTCTTTTATATTTTATCATTTTCATGATTCTTTTTTTTCTGTTCATCATGTTTAACTTATTTATTACTCTTCTTCAGGTTAATTAGTACCAATAGTAAAGTAAAACGTTACCACTTTTCTTTTACGATGTAAAGAAAAAAGGTAAACCTTGAATACTCTGGTAATTTAATGAATTGAAACAAGCCTCAAGGAGATAATAGAAAAGCCCATCATCATGATCAAAATCAAACATGATTATTATTATTCCACAATCAACATTGTTCCCTAGACCTGATAATGAATTTTATTCCACTTTTCTTCACCACCTCTGCTAATTTCAGGTCCATTTGTTGCAGAAAAATACATTATCACTTCCCACTTGAATACTCAATTTAAGATGATAACATTAGTTTCATCATTATCATCTCTCTCTCTCTCTCTCTCTCTCTCTCTCTCTCTCTCTCTCTCTCTCTCTCTCTCTCACAAAGAGAACAGGTTTCGATTAGTTTCATGTTAATCTTTTCATTATTTTCCATCCTCATCATTTCCATTAGTATCTTCAACTCGTAGCTAATCAAACGTTGCCCATAATTAACGAATCCATGAATTAAATGATAGGAGTGATGATGAGCATGAGAAGATAATTTGTTTTACAATCAGTGAGAAGTCAAATTTACCTATGGGTTAATCATGATCATCTTGATTATTGTGTCTCACCATTCACTGGATTACATTTCAATCCAAGGCTAAAACTTACATTAATTGTTAGACTTAACTATTATCTAATATAAATATTTTATAAAATCTCATTAATTTAATTATAATTATGTTTTTTTTTCATAACCTCTCCTCCTCATCTTCTATCGTAATTGTAAATAATTAACAAACCACTAACATTGTTACCTTTCTCTTTCTCTCTTACACATCTCCTCCTACTCTCTTCATCTTAATCATCATCATCAATTTTATTATATCTGCTTGTTAATTAATCTCTTCCTTCAATATAAATCAATTTGATTAACAATATTATTTATTAGTCTTGATCTATGGCGACAAGTTGTTCCTGTTCATGAGGTTATCTTTAATCCACCCTCATCATCATCTACTAATCCAGTTAATCTGATTAACAAGAAATTAATTAAACCCGCTGCTAGAATACTTCGTTCTCGAGGTCGTTCATATTCACCTATGAGACAAGCTCGAGTTGGACCAACAATTAAAACACGTTTAACAACTTTCTCTGAATCAATGAACACTAATCAATCCAATTTCACTAACAATCAACAATATTATCAACATTCTGAATCAATTTTCTCAAGACAATCCTCGTAAGAAGTTGATTAATCTTGATTACAAGTTCATTCAATTACTAATTTCCCGCATTTAATTGTTGTTGTCTTAATTTATTCATTGCTGTAATTTTTGCTTCCACCATTCATTTTAATTACTTCATTTCAATTTATTCGAGATCATAATCAATTTTAATCTCTGCTCTCTTTTTATTTTAATTTTCTTTCATCATCATATTTGCACTTAAATTTTGTTACTCACTTTTCTCAATCTTATTTATATACAATTAAACTAACTACTTGATTTAATTTCTTTCTCTCATCAGAAATAATCAAACATCGGCATCAACCCAAAAATCTTCCGTTATCATCACATCAACATCTCATGGTCAAACTAACAAAAGCACCTCGACAAAACGTAGATGACAATCCGGGCAGTCCACTCGTCAACCTCTTCACCACGTAATACGAAAGCGAACCTTCAAAACTAAACAACGATACACGAAAAAAATGATCGTCCCTCGACAAAAGAGTCGCGGGAAAAAAAATGTTAACCTTCCCAGTAGAGAATTGATAAGCTTGGGATTAATTTCTCTAGATTGTTGTAAATACGAGTTACGATCCAAAAGTAATAGTAAACGACGATCGAAAGGTTCAGACAAGTGATAAACACGAGAGAAACTCAAAAACAGAAGAAAATCAATCAATTTGGAGCAATTGATTCTTCGCATAAAGAATCAATTGTTTTCAATTTCTTCATAATTAATTGTTTGAGATTAGTTTTAATCTGATAAATTTATTTAAAGGTCTTTAGTTTATTTAATAGACTTTCATTATTTTTAATTTTCTTTTAATTTACTTTTCCATTTTAACCCTTATCTGTTTTGATTGAATCTCTCTGTAACTTTCAGCTGATCAATTCAAAGCTAATCAAACTACTAAAACTACTACTACAATTAATTTAATGGTTGACGAGTGAGCGATGCCCAGTAATTCATTTACCTCGCACCTCCCGTTCCATAGGACATGCCTCCCACCGACGATACGACAATGATGACGACGAAACGAAAAGAAAACGAAATTCAAACTCAACTTAATTTTTCCATTTCAAACAAATTGACAGAGAAAAGCAACACAACTCATTGGATTTGTGGACTGATTAACTTCCAATTGTTTCTATCTAATCCTTTTATTATCCATTTTTAATAATTACCGTTAATTTAACAATCGACAGACAAACAAGGAGATTATCAGAAAAAAAAGAAAACGTTTTTAGTTGAAACACAATTTGTTTGTTTGAAATTGATGATGATGATGATAAATTAACTACTTTTATCACTTATTAACTAAATAGTTATATTATATAATATAACACTAATTCACTTTTACTAATCAACTAAACTGTATAATCCTCTTTCCAATATCTTAATTAGTTAATTGTGTGATCGTAAATGATTCTTTCCCTCTTCTAAAAAAGTAATTTTATCTTTTCAATTGTATTTTTAATTTGATTATTTTCCCTCTTCTCCTCTTACAATTGTATAAATTTGATTATATTTTTGTGCTTTGTTTTGTTTTTGTAATTAACAATTTTTTTCTTTCGATTGAGATTAAACAAAAATATCCAAACAACAATTAACGCAGATTCTTTGTGAGAATAGACAATTTATCTATTATTCAATATCATATTTGTTTATTGATTCCATTTGAATGATCGAATCAATTTCTAATTGTTGTGATTCGAGATTCTAATTAATCAACCACAGAATCAAACGAAAAAAACTCTCATGTCAAATACGAACAATTAAACTTGAATCAAACTAAATTAATTGTCAGCCTGATTCACCATTGCCTTTTCTTCAAATCATCTGAGTTTCACAAAAGCCGAAAAACTAATTGTCCGAAAGTAACTCGTTACTGTCATTCGTTATTCTATCATCGATTTGTTTAATTGTCACTTCTAATTATTAATTAGCGAATTAAATTGTCGTGTACAAGTTTCCTCTTCGGAGGAGCTGTAGCACTTAAGCTACAGTTAGATGTTAAATCATTGCACTAAAGTGCTTCTAATTGATTAAAGTGATTAAAAATTGCTTTAACAGAGACGTGGATTGTAATTAGCGATTTTTGTTATTCTCCAACCCAAAGAATATAAATTCTGACACCAAACACTTAAAATGCTCATAAACGAAAAGCTTATTTAACATGATTATAAAAGTTTATCACCGTCACGACAAGACTGTAAATCTAATTGTGATTAATTCTTAAGTATTAACAATTAACCATTAACAAGGATTTTAATTTTATACTGAGAATAAAAGAAAAGAAAAAAAAAATTTCCAAAGAAATTGTATTGAATCAAATAAACCGAAATAAAAAATTAAAGAAAGAAATTAAAATCTCTATTTATAGTAACCAGATTAAAGTAAATTAGAATTAGTAATTTACTTTTAATCGTGAAAAATTGGCCAACTAAGTTTGTCCATCAATCGATACAATTAATTGATAATCAACCAAACGAAATGGAAAATACCTTTACAGGTATTCGGTCAATTAGAATCGATCAGTTAATTGGAATGTTTCATCAGCCAAAAGCAAAGAGAAAATTAGTTAACATAAATTATTTATTCTAATTGTGATTACGAACAATTTGCCAAACATGTAATCAAACCTGATATAGGAAATAGACTTGAAAATAAAGTTCGTAGCAATTAAGATGATGATGATTCGTTTAAACATCCGTTTAAAAGTGGAAACATTAAACAAGTGACAAAACAATCAACCGTTTACAACGATAATTTGGAAAAGGTTGAAATAGAATATGAATTAAAAAAGAAAATCATCTTCCTCCTTTTCTACCTCCCACTTTTAACTTTCGAAAATGAAACTTTTTTTCTCTCTCACTTTCTCTCTTTCAAATAACAATTCTACATCTACTTCCGCCATCTTATTTTAAAATCGTTTTGTATTAAATTCTTCTTCTTTTGATTGCAAATCGATTTGCATTACACACGAAATGTACATATACTACTCTCTCTCTCTCTCTCTCTCTCTCTCTCTCTCATTTTCGCTCTCTCTCTCCTCTTTTATAAATAGATGATCCCATCGACGGGTTTTGACGGCATCATCATCTTCTCACTCTCTATCTATTTATCTTCTCTCTCTCATCAGTAAAACTAACTTATAATTCAGGTTAAATCAAGTTGACCGGTTCCTTTAAATCGCCAAACTTATAAATATAATTTTAAAAGTACCAATACATGTGAACCAATTTGTTATCGTTTGAATTGTGTTTTTTTCTTCTTCCTTTCATGATGATGATGAAGATGAAGATGAAGATGAAGATGATGGAGATGATGATTAACTTATTTCCGAAGCTTGAAATTTTTGTTATCAGTACGGTAGCTTGTTGGTTGTTTCACTGAGGGTCTAAAGCTTTTCAGATTCACTTTTTGTTGTTCGTGCGGTGGTTTGGGTTATGTTGTTATGTTGTTGTTATTGATTCTTTTGGTGCTCCTGTTGCCGTTGTTGGAGTTTTGTTGTTGATGTTGTTTTCGAATCCACATCTTTACACGATTTTCAGAAAGAGAAGAAAAGAAGACGAAGAAAGAAAGAAAAACAAGCTTAGCTTCTCGTTTTCTTTTTCTTTTTCCTCTTTTTTAGTGTTTGGACGCTACTTCGGTGCTACTGATATCTTCCAGTTCTCTCTCTCTTTCTCTTTTTTCCCTCTCTCTCTCTTCTCATCTTTAACTTGACCAAATTATATTTAACTAAATAACTTAGTAGATAGTAAATAATGAAGTATCAACGTGTTCTCTTTTTAATTGTGATGATTATGGTACTTTTGATGGTACTTTTTGTGAAGGATACCCAGGCCATAATAACCACAACGGTGTCACAGAATCTTTTATGGATTGAATGGATTTCCTTTTCCGCCAGTGTTTCCCTAATTGGAATACTTGTTATCTACTATTCCAATATTGTTCCACAAGGAGTTCAAAGGATATTTAAATATGGAAAAGCTGCTGAACTCCATGTGCAAGGAATCAAAAAGTGCAATAAAATTGAACTTCCAAAAAGGTTAATTCCAATTTCTCTTTTAAAAAACGACAGTTATACTTCATAAGGATTGACGATCTTTCAATTTTGTCCATCAAGTGACCTAAAAAACAAAAGCAAAAGAACAAAATCAAAGTGAATTAATACAATAGAATCAAAATTATTCGAAACTTAAAATTAAGAAAGTTAAGAAGAGCGAGAGAGAAAAAAAAGATTCTCACCAGATCAATTTTCCTTTCAATTAAACTTTTGTTTAGAGAAAAAAAAACAATCGAAACCCATTGGTCATTCTTTGTGTGTGTCCAGTGAGTTAGTTGATATTTTCGATTGGAAATTATGTCACAGTGTCCGGTTTACTTCCGCTTTCACTTTATCTTCCAATGACTCCACTTGATAGTTGATTTATAATGATAATTATAGATTAAAATGAAGAAATTCCGTTTTCTTTTGACTGATCTTTAACTTTCTTTTTTCTTGTTTTCTCCAATCCTTTTCCTTTCCATTTCTTTTTTCTTGTTGCTGCCATTTACCGTTAACTGGTCACCGTTACTTTAGGTGGTTTTACCACTTTTACCTGTTTGCAACAACATTTTACTTACTACTAGCTTTCTCCGTTCTTCAAGTGTACCTATTAAAGATGACATTACCCAAATATGTTCAAATACTATTAAATTCAATCGTTGGGGTACATAGAAAGTCAAATGGTAAGTTAACTTTATCCAATGTTGTTAATCAGACGATCTCTCATCTATTCATCAGGCCTAACAAGAGACACTTTCAATTGTTGTCTTTACAAACTCTGGTAGATGATTAGATTAACAGTTTACCTTTTCTTTTTTTTTGTTGGTTATCATAATTGTTTCATTCTCTTTGTAAACCAATAGTAACCCCAGAATCAGTGATGATTTCAATGGCCTTAATTATTGTCCAAGTGAGTCGCCGGTTATGTGAATGTATATTTTTAAGTGTCTACTCGGATTCCAAGATGAACATAGTCCATTACATTTTTGGTTTCTCTTTTTATTTCGGTGTTGGTCTATCAGTATTAACCGAAGCTCCAGGATTTGCTAGTTTAGGTAAGAAAAAAAAGAAAAGAAAAACAATTAAATCAATTATTATAAACAATAAAAATCTTTTTACCTTTTTTTTTCATTTTTCTAAACAAAAAGGTCCTGCTTATGTTCACATGAGTGGTAATTTCATCACTTGGAATCATATTGTTGGTATTTGCTTATTTGCTTGGGCTTCATCTTTACAATACCAAAGTCATTCAATCTTAGCTGAATTAAGAAAAGATAACAAAGGTAACAACAATTAAGTCAACAATTAGAAAAAAATGAAAGAAGATTAAAAAAAACAAACAATCGTTAATCTCCCGCTTTGCGAATGTGCTGCCATCTGTTGGCGATCGATTTCCTCAATTAGATCAATCGAAAAATTTTTTCTCTTTTTTTTGTCAATTGAAACAATTTAATTGATTGAAATTATTGTCTTCTCAAACTAACTCAAAGATTTTATTCATTTTTTTTCTCCATACTTTAGGTCATGTTGTCAGTTATTCACATTCTATACCGAAAGGTGGATGGTTCGATTACATCTCATGTCCACATTATTTTGCTGAAATTTTAATCTACTTTTCAATTTGTATTGTTTTCGCTGGACGATCAACAACATGGTGGATGGTCTGTGGTTTCGTCCTTACCAATCAGATAATCGTGGGTCTCTTTAATCACCATTGGTATTTAAAGACATTCAAAGATTATCCTAAAGATAGAAAAGCGGTCATACCTTTTATTGTTTGAACAGAAACAAAATCGACGAAAAAAAAACCGAAAAAAAATATCGTTAATCTTATCGTTAACACCAAAGGAAGTTTAATAATTTGATTAATTATTTTCATCGAATTTTTTTTCTCATCTTAATTTTCATCATCTTCTAAATTACAAGTCACAATCTCTCTTAATTATGTAAGTAATACAATTAACTAAATCAAACGAAGCAAAAAAAACTAATGATAAAACAAAAACTTTCTCTCTCTCTTATTAAATCAAATAGTTTAAATTGGATATCAAATTGAATATAATATAAATCATTTTCAATATCTTAATCATCTTGCTGAATAAATGGTCATTAACGATAACATCAATATCGAGTGTTAATTAATTGTTTTCAAAAAATAGACTTGTGGCCAATCATTATAACCGAGGAACAATTTAATTTAGATATTAAAAAGAATAGCGAAAATCCAATCAATCTTAATGACGAACCAGAAGCTTAATTATTCATCATGAAACTTTTAATCATTTTTCTCTCTCCAACAATCTATTTAATTACATCACCATTCTGAGAACAAATTAATTCAAACTACACTCACAATTCAATCAAATACATTCACGGAGTTTCATGGAATCACAATTTGTTTTTAATTACGATTTTTACATTAATTCGAACCCCGATTTTGGCCTAATTTTTTTTTCTCTCTCTCTCTCTCTCTCTCGATTTTTTTTACTCTCCTTCTCACTTTTGTACACGAAATTCAATCCCTCTCAATTAACTCCTATCACCATCATCATCACTCTCATCATTTAATCATCTTGTTAAATCATCAAAAGAAAAACAAATCAATTGTTGTTAAATCAAATCTTAAATTAACATTTTCCTAAATCATTTCAACCAACACGTAAAGGTAATAATCTCAATCAAACAAAAAACGATTAACAATATTTTCCAATCAAAAAATAGGAGGAAAAAAATCAATTCAATTGAGAAAAAAAGTAACCAATTAATTAATCGATTGTTGTACAATTCAACTAATGTCACAATCTAAGAGCAAGGAAATAATATAAACGAACCACAATCGAAAGGTCCAAAGATACATTGGTAAAAAGATCGAAAAACAGAATCAACACTCTGAAAATTCAAATCGAGAACAATCAATTGTAAGAAATTATTTTTTCTCAGAAATAAAAATTATCTTGACAATTAGAATTTAGATTTTCGTGAGAATAGCCAATGAATGTCTATTCTCACGAAAAAGAGAGAGACTCAACTTGAAGAAAGAAACAAATTGAATGTCACTCTGCTGATGTTTTCCATTCAATGTCATCATAATTAAATTGATTCTTTTTGATTAATTGTTTGTTTGTTTAAATTGTGATTTTTTCTTCGCTTGGAAATAAAAATGAGCGCTGGACACAAGGTTTGTCTCATTGTAATTGATGGTTGGGGTATTTCTGATGAGGTTAAAGGTAATGCAATTCTTGCTGCTGATACTCCGGTCATGGATTCATTGGCAAAGGTTGAGGGTCAATATGTTACCTTGGATGCTTCTGGAACCTCAGTTGGTTTACCTGAAGGTTTAATGGGTAACTCAGAGGTTGGACATTTAAATATTGGTGCTGGTAGAGTAATGTACCAGGATATTGTTCGCATTAATATGGATGTTAAAAGTAAAAAAATCCGTGAGAATCCTTCATTTGTTGATGCCTGTAATCGGAGTAAAACAATTAGTGGTGGACGTTTACATCTTCTTGGTCTAATTAGTGACGGTGGTGTTCATGGTCATATTGAACATTTATTCTCTCTACTTGAAGGTGCAAAAGCCAATGGAGTGGATAAAGTGTTCATTCACTTTTTCTCCGATGGTCGAGATACAAGTCCAACTTCGGGTGTTACTTACCTGAAGCAGGTTCTAGATAAAATTTCAAGCCTCAAGTATGGGTCACTTTCCACCCTTATGGGCCGATACTATGCTATGGATCGGGATAAACGCTGGGAACGAACCAAAATCGCTTACGATGGTTTAGTTCAAGGTATTGGTGATGTTGTTTCAGCCGATAAAATAATTGACTTTGTTAAATCAAAATACGAGGAAAAAATTACCGATGAATTTATCAAGCCGGTTATCATTAATAAGGAAGGTTTAATTAAAGACAAGGATACACTTGTTTTCTTTAATTATCGATCAGATCGAATGAGACAAATCGCTGAAACCTTTGGTCTTCGACGTAACTTTGAAACGGACAAAGTTCCTCAGGATATTAAACTGTACACTATGACCAAGTATAAAGATGAATTTCCATTTGATGTACTTTACCCTCCGGTGGTTCCAAAAAATGTTCTATCCGAGGTTGTGGCTCATGCTAAGGTTAAACAATTCCACTGCGCTGAAACCGAAAAGTATGCCCATGTCACTTTCTTTTTCAATGGTGGACAAGAAGTAGCCTTTGACCAGGAAGAAAGGTGCATGGTACCCTCTCCAAAGGTGGCAACTTATGATCTCCAGCCGACAATGAGTGCTGCCGGTGTCGGTGAGAAAATGGTTGAAGCAATTGAAAGTGGAAAGTATCATTTCATCATGTGTAACTTTGCCCCACCGGATATGGTTGGACACACAGGAAAATATGAGCCCGCCGTTATCGCTTGTACCACCACGGACAAGGCGATTGGAGCAATCAAAGAGGCTTGTGATAAACATGGATACATCTTATTGATTACCTCTGATCATGGTAACGCCGAGAGGATGATTGATGAAAAGGGTGGACCAGTGACCTCACATACAACCAACCGAGTACCATTCTCAATGACCGGTCCCTACAAATTCAAAAAGTTGTCCCACAATGCCGCTCTTTGCGACGTTGCTCCGACCGTATTATCCTTGATGAACATCCCGATTCCCAAAGATATGACCGGTCAATCGTTGGTCGAAAAATAGAGGAAAACCAAAAGAATCCCACTTCAACTCACATCGAATCTAAATTAGTCAAATTCTTAATCATCTTAACCAAAGCAAATTTTAGTTTCTAATTTAATTCAAATCAAAATCTATTTCTGTGTTTAAAAAGTTACAAATTTCTCGAAAATTGTTGCTCCAAATTTCATCAAATATTATTTTTAGTTTGTTTCAAAACAAAAAGCTTAATTGTCAACCTTTGGCTGTGAAAATTAACTAATTGTAATCAATACAAGTAAGAAAAAAAAAGAAATCAATTCAATCATGAAATCAACTCAATCGATTGATAATCAAAAGCTTCAATTCACAATCAATACGATTGATTGAAAACCCAAGTAATATAAGTCACCAGTTTACTACCAACAACAACAACAATTTACGATTGATTAGATTTACGAGAAATTTAATCAACAAAAAGGAGGTTAATTGCTAATCAAATCAACGAAATAAAAAATATTCAATTTTATTGTTAATTAAAAAAAAGAGGATAAAATTATAACCATTGATAAGGAAGAGGAGGAAATAGTTGATTGTAAATATTGTTTTGACTTGATATCGAAAATAATTATGATTACAATTAAATAATATACGATAATTAAGGTAAACAATTTAAATAGATTAGTAATAATAATTAGAATTGATTAATCATAAATCATCTTCACTAGTTTGATCAGTTAACATTTTCTTTGATAAATTAAGTATCTCTCTTGATTGATGATTAGTATTAATTGATAAACGTTGGGATGTTGATCGACGACGTTGATTATCAATATGATGATGATTGTGATTAGTTGGTAAATCAACGTAAGAGAAACGTGAATGATTTAATGAGTGGGGATTGTGATGATTACGATGACGATGATGAGAAGATGATGAAGACGATGAATGATGATGATGATGATTACGTTTTGTTTCAACGATACAACAGATCAGATCATTGGAACGACCAACAACAATGTAAACAATTAAGAGTAAAATAACAAGGCAACAAATTGTAAACACAATTGTAATTGTTGAATACCATCGTTCCAATGTGATTACTTGATTAACTAATGATAATGAGTGACAATGTCCTTTGGTGTTAATTGTTGCATCCGGAAAACAAGTAGTACAATTTGAATCAGCGGCACCGGAACAAGTTTTACATGAGTAATGGCATCGGGAACATCTTAATGACTCTGATCCGATTTTAATTGCGATTGTCGATCGATAATAACCCTCAGGACAATTATCCAAACAAACGCCATTAATTAAGACCATATTGTGACTACACTCTATGAGAATTAGATATAAATGTGAACAATTAACATTAGAAAATGATTTAAATTATTGTTACAATTTCATTTTCCATCATCTTGATTAGTTGAACAGCAAAAGAAAAGCAATTAAGCGATTATTTGGTTAATTAAAGCAGTTAGACAATTAGACTGATTCATATAATTCAACAGTTACTCTGTCAACAATTAACTTAATTGTACTCACCAAATTTCATTTTACTTTTTGTTTTCTCGGTTTAATTGTGATCAATTGATTAAATTGACTTTCTAACTTTATTCATGCTAACAATTAACTTAAATCAATTGATTAGTGATTAGCTTTGATTGTTAAATGTCAATTCTTGAAAACATAAAACTAAATTATGATCACAATAAAAATGACAATTGTCATAAATGATTAACTGATTATTTCTAATTGTTGGTTAATTAAAGGAGGAAAATAATAATAATCTACCAAGAATTATCTGTAATTAAACAACAACAAATGTCAAGGTTAAATTGTTGAATTAATAATAATAATCAATATGATTTTAATATCAAAAATATATATCAAAGTTATTAATTAGTTGATCATATAATGAATTTTAAAAAACAAAAAGTTGATTAACTTTTAAGGCATTTAAATTAAATGATAATTGTTTAAAAAGTTAACACATCAAATTGGCTTAACTTAATATAACTAAATTAAAATCTACTGTTGATGTTGATAAAAAATATTACCATCAACAGAAAAAATTATTGGATTAATAATTAATAATAATAACCCAAAAGCACAATTGATTGACAATTAATTATCAATCAACATTTAAAATTACAAATAGCAATTAATGATCAATTAAGGAAGCGCATTAAAAGGGTGGTAATGAATACAGATTAAAATATTATCAAGGAGAGAGATTAATAAGAAGCTTAATTAGATTGGCAGTTGAGGAATACTAATTGTTGTTGAACGAAGATGATGATGATGATGATGATGATGATGGATAATGATAAGAATGAAAGATCAGCCATAATTTTCAAACAATCAAAGGTAAGAAAAAAATTGGTAACAACAATTAACATGAGAGAAAATTAAAATAGGAGAGAGAGAGAAACAAGTCAAGTCCATTGACCGACAGGTAACAATTAGATGAAAGAAAGGGAAATGACAGAATCATCATCAAGACGATTACAATTTAGCAAAACAATTTAGCAGACACGAGATGATGTTACATGTAGGCAGCATTGGTGTTGGTTGATTTTTTTATCAATGGTGATGGTTGATTGCAGAGCTTGATTGTTAATTTGTTATTATTATTATCAAATGCGTGAGCGAGATAGAGAGGAACGAGAGAGAGAATGAGAAAGTGAGTGAGAGAGACAGTGAGTGTGTTTTGATTGTGTGGTGAGTAGATTGCAATTGATGGGGTGGGCTTATTGATAATAATTATTAGCACAGGTATTAGATGTTCATTTGAGCGAGTTGAACAAGTAAAGCCAGTAAGGTGAGGCACAAACCTAGGCACTGGGAGCCCGAATCTTTCAGGATACATCCTCGGTTGAATGACTTTCCACCAAGGATGAAGGAATCACTTTCATCTGATGATTTGTCTTCTCTGGTTCCATGAATAACACCCAGAACTAACATCATCATATTTGATACATAGAAAAAGAGATAAACAAAAAAAAAGAAAGTTTTTTTTTAGAAAAAAAAAGTTTCAAAGAAAATGATTTCATGGGAACTGATCAACTATCGATACACATTATCATTTATCATCATCATCAGTCTTAAAATCATCTTGTTATCCTCTTTCTTTAATTCATTACTGACATTTAATGATTGACTGATGATTTCATGTAAATACTTAATCATTAAGAGATGAAAATTCATCTTGAGTAGTATTACAATCATCTTCATCATGTCTACAGGTAACAAGTGAATAATGTTTTCCTTTTGAGGAAAGAAAGGAAAAATTAATTTATCTCTTTCTTTTTGTTGAAAGTTCATTCAGATTCATCAGAGAGTTTCCTTTACATGGTAAAATCTTATTCTTTGGAGACTATTTGATAAGTGCTATTGTTAAGACTTCCAGGTAAAGGCTATCGCTTAGATTAACTTTCTCTCTGTGGTCAAGTTTCAGATTTCTGATTGTATATGAAATAAAAGGTTGAGTATAAGAAGAAGATGAGAATGATGATGATGATGATAATGAGGATAATTGAAGTTTCGACTATTCAATTGTTTGCAATTCATACCAGAATTGTGTTGGGTATTCTGATTGATTGGTGACAAAAGGTTGATATCATTGTTATCAATTGGCTGGACATTTGGTTTCTTAACAGTTTTATCATTAGACAATGATGAAGATGATGATGATGGTGATTGTTTAATTGGAAACCTGCCACTGAATTTTCCTGGAGATGGATAAGGTTTACGAGTTGAACTGCTACTACCATTGACACTACTGCTACCATTTATATCACTGGTCATCATTGATTTACCTGCACTATTGTGATTTAAATCATCGAAAGATTTTTCCAAATCATTACCCAATTTATCATTGTAATAAGGTTTATTAGCTTCCTCTGAGCTTGGTGGTGATAGAGATGGGAATGATTTGTCCACTCGTCTATCAGGATTTTCAGTTGTCCCATACATGACCAGTGTCCACTCTTTAAGATAAGCTCGGCCTGAATCAAAATGAAGAGACAAACATCAAATTAAAAACTAGTAATCTGATTAAAATCAAACAAAGAAAAGTACTAACGTGAAAAATTAAACACATTAATCTACAATTAGATCTAATCAATATAAAATCGTGCACAATAATCATAAGCAAACAATTAAATAGCAATTAAATATTGGTCACTACAAGATTGTCATCTATTAGTTGTCCAAATCTATTTCTCTTACCTAGTAGACTTGGATAGTTTCCAGTACCTTTTAATTGTTAATTGGATAGCAAGAATTAATCATTTCCATTGTAAGATTAACAGGGAAATGATTAATAAATTGGTTAGTTCGTAAATTGTGATTAGGAATTTGAGATTATTTTCTTTGATTAACTTACTGTAAATGTATCGACCTTCATTGTGAACTTCAATCTTCCATAGACCATTGGGATTTTCACCCCAGGTATGGACACTCATGAAAGGCCAATTCTGAAATCCTGACCTCGAATTGTCCATCGGACGTTGAGCAAGTAGATTAACTTTGGTCCCTACGGGTGAGGTAAGATAAATGTGTAGATCACCTCGTCGGGTCGCTGTTAAGGTCACCTTTGCTTGGACATGTTCAAGGAAATTGACCTCATCTTCACAAGAAACTTCAAGAGATAATTCAATATGACTCTTGGCAGGAATTAATCTAATTATTGGAATAAAAAGAAATCAAAAAATTAATTTTCATCAGATTGTTTAACTGTTTCGAATGAGAAATTATCATTAAGTTAAATTGTTGTTATTGCCTGTTGATTGTATTCAAGTAACAAAATGAAATTATTACAAATGTAATTACAATTATGATTGTTGTTGGTACAACATTGTTACAAGTGAAGAGTTGATGATATTATGATTTGTGGTTTACTGAGATTGTTAATCGTTTTGATAACAATTATAATTTGATTAATAATCTATTTTCTTGCTTCCTCATTTAGGTTGGGACAAATTTAAATCAAGACAAATGATTAATGTTAAATATTCAACCAAGTATAATAATCATCATGATAATCATCTTATTACATGGTGAGTTACATCTCAATTGATTCAGAATCTGAAACTTATTCATGTTCCAAAACAATAACAAACCAGGAAAATGTTTCATTTCGCAAGAGAGAGAGAGAGAGAGAGAGAGAGAGAGAGAGAGAGAGAGAGAGAGACGAAGATGATAAATGACAAAAAAAAGTGTAACAGATTTGAACAATAATCAAGTCAACGGAATTCAAGGAAATGATTAAAGATAAATTCAGGATAATCAACCAGAGAAATATATGAAAATCAGAGTATCATGTTGAAGGAGATGATGAAAGAGGAGGAGAAAAGGGAGAGTGGAAGATGAGAAGAAGATGAAAAAATATCGATATCGATTTTATCCAAAAAAGAATAATTTTTTCCTCTTTTTTTTTATCAATAATATCATATGATTGTTATTCTGTTAAAATTTCATGTTATCAGCACACAAAATAATTCTCATCAAATCTTAATGATATATTGAACTATTAGGATAACAATTGTAACAATTTAGTTAACTGATTGGGATTATGATTGGATGATGATGAGGATATTTTTGGATACTTAAATGATTACAATTAAATCTGCCAATAGATAAATGTTCATTAATGATTATCTACAAATGTGATCAATATTAAATCCTTGTAATGTTGATTGACAATTTAAAGATATAATCAATCAAAGTATTAACTGTCAGTTGCTGATTGTGAACAATTAGTTGAGTTTTTTTTTCATTTGTTTTACTCGTTTACATAATATAACAATTAGTTAATTGTGGTTTCTGAATCATCATCACAATAAATCATAATGCAATCAATGTCATCCACAATTAAATATGGTTAATTTGTCTTAATAATCAACAATAATATTGATTCAATTGATTATATTCAATCAAGTTTCAATCATGAGTTTTGGATGAAAGATCTCATTGATTGTAACTACTGTTACAATGATTAACAAATCAATCAAATAATCAAAAAGTATAGAGGATAATTCAAGGTTAATTAGTTGACAAAATCACTTAATAATTAACTAATACAAACAAAACTAAAATTAATGATTAATCAACAATTTAAACTAATAGAGATCAAGAGTGACAAGTATTCAATGATTTATGAGGATATCAGATTTTCAGAAATACAAAAAAAAGTGACAACTCTTTACAATTAAGGAGAAAATTAAATTGGCTAATTGTTAATAGTTAGATAATTAAATAACATTTTAAAGAAACAATTTCAATCTTAGTAAATGAATTGAATAAAATGTAAAACAAAAAAGGCAAGGGAAACTTAACCAGTATAAATAAACACAATTAACTAATTACAAACGTAAATACAAGTTAGTTAATATCTTAATTGTAATCAATATTGATGCAAGATCGTAACTTTAATTGAGAAAATGATTTCAAAAGGATTCATTGGATTAAGTGATGGGAAGATGAACAGTTTTGTTGAAAAAAAAATAAGAAGAAATTAAATCCAAAGATGATGAACAAAAATCAATAAAGAAATAGAAATGAAGACAAAGAGTGAATGGTCAGTATTAAGGATGGACATTCACAATTGTAGGACATCACGATAACATCTTAATGATGAAAGATGAAGATATAACATGAAATCAATGTGAATATCCACCTACATCATTCACGTGGGTTGAATATTCAACTACAAATTCAATAGAAGGAAAAAATAACAGAGGAAGAGAGAGAGAGAGAGAGAGAGAGAGAGAGAGAGAGAGAAATGTATACACACTACTACCTTAGTATCTTTAACCTTTATCATCCTCATCCTCGTCTTCATCCTCATCTTCAATAAGATATATTGTTTAGCAATCAGTTTAAACAAGAGAAACCAATTGTTTACAGTGATGAACTGAAAACGCTTCAAGCTTTAAGCATGGGGAGTGGGTTGATGGGAGGATAAGGGGCACAAAGGTTGATTCTGAATCAATTGCGAGTGGGTGAAAAATCTCATCATGGAAACATAGATAATATTAATAGAGAGAAGATGAAAGAGAAGGAAAAAGTCAACGATGATGATGAGAATGGCAAAGATTCCCAAAGAAAAACTCTCAAGAAAAACATTATTACCGTAAAGAAATCAATGTGTTATTAGGATAAAATATTAATATTGACAAACTATTGATTGGCATGAACGGCAATCAGGTTTCATTGGAACCATTTAACTAAATTGTGTTGCTAATATTTTTTTATTCATTTCTCATGGCAAATGGTGTATATTCAAATTGTAATACCATTTAATTTGTAATAATATTAATAGTAAATTGTATGATCACAATCATTTGCATTTCATTCAAATTTCCTGAAAAAAAAACAAAGTTTCAATAACAGACCAAGGTAAATGTCAGTGTTACCAAATACTGGGATAAAAGAAAAATCTAATTAACTAATTGCTTGCCCATGCAGACAACAATTAAACATGAATACAAAGTACATGTAATACTATTCAAGGTATGAGTTGATTGTAACAATTACCTTTAAATTGGTTTGGGCCTTTTGACACCGAGGATCAAGAACACAAATCAATGATTGTTACTAATTACATCAAGGAAATAAGATTCTAAGTCAACTAAATCAACTAATTGTTTACTATCAAGTACTAAGAATAATAAAATGAGATCTGAATGAATGTGTTGAGAGAAAGAGCCAGAAATTTTGGTAATACCCAAAGAGACTCGATGATAATGTTACCATGAAATGAATTGTTATCTTGATTGAGTGATCTGAATTTTGTGGTTCATTCAACTTAATAAATAACAAATAATAAAAGGTAAATCCAATTCAATATATTCACTGAGTTAAAAAAAGTATCTTAATGTTATTATTGCCATTGAGGAAGAAAAAGTTTCATCATCATCAGGAATTGAGGATTGACACCAAGAATCACCAACTCAACTGAATCCTATTGAAATCAACAAATAAGATTCATCTAGTTATCATCATGAGAGAAGCCCAGAAATCAGATCTTAAAAGTGTGACAAAATGATGATGGTGATGATGATAAACAAAGTGACATTTAGTGTCCATTGAAATTCAAGCAATTTCCATGTAAATCATTTCCTTTTGAAGTAAAAAAAAACAATTCATTCATCCAAAAGTTCAGATAAACTGAGTTACTCCGAGTTAGAAACTTTTTTTCACCAATGTTATCACAAAATAAGAAGACGAAAAATAAAAGTTAAACCAAATAGCTGATCAAATGAATCGACTGAACATAATCATCATGGTTAACAGGGTGAAATATATCAATCATATTCATTGGTGAAATCGTTTAGGTGAACCTCAATTCTGAGGATGAAATTTCATGACAAGCATCTTTAAATTGTTAAAATTCATTCATTTTCATGGTGAATTTTTTTTCATTCATTGAATTTGTTTCATCTTCTTTTCAACAACAACAACAATCAATGATAATAATCATATTAGTTGAAACTGATTAATATTAATCAGATAACAGTAATTTTATTCATGATTGGTAATTCCAATCAAAACTTTAATCTGATTCATTTGAATGAACGTTTCAAATGAACAATTTGATTATGAACTAATTTTTTTTTCTTCATTCTTTTATCTTGATGAAGGTTGATTACAATTCCAATTTAACTTGTAATCACAGCTAATTGTAAGTTAAATCATCGTAACAATCAACAAAACAAACAATGAAATATTAACCAAGAGGAAATGAGAGGTTAACAATAATCAAAAATCACAACAACAACAATCAGATGAAAATTGTAAACAAAATCATTTTGATAAAATACAAATATTGATAATAACAATTGCTTTTGTTATTTACTAATTGCTATTAATTTTTTTCTTCATTAACATTAATTGCAACCAACAAGAAGTGAAAAAAAAAATCAAAATAAGATACAGATATAAACACAACAATCAGAGTAAACAATTTAAATTGCTCAACATTGTTAAGTTTTTTTTTTAGATTTCCACTAATCTTCACCATGATTCTGGGATAATGGATCAATAATATGAGTTTAATTTAGGAATGATTATCAGTCCATGATAAGAATCAGTTAAGTGTAGAATCGCCTTAGTTAAGTCAAGTCGAAAAAAAGTTTTTCTATTTCAACAGATAGTTCTTGTTCTGAGTTATCGAATATCCTGTTCTGAGTATCCCAATAATCATCAGGATAATGATTATATCGATTAGATGATTTAAAACATAATCGTCCATCTAAAAAGGTGTATTTCATGATATTATTGGGAGAAAATCAATTTCAGGGTAAAGTTTAAAAACTATTCTCGATTATGGATTATCATTATTCATCCCTATGGTCAATATTGAATTTCAAAATCTACAATTAATCAACAATCTAATATATAATTAAATTTGTTCCCAGTGAAATAATAAACGAGAAATTATCAAAACAAAAATTAAAGAGTAACTTGAATGATCAATGAACACAATTAATGGTTATCCTGTTTGATTAATTTAATCATGGGAAAAAAACTAATCATCATTTAGTAAAAGTACAACAATTTATTAACTATAAGTTTAATTTTGTTCATCAACTTTTAGAGCAATTAAAAAAATGGTCTCGTCTAGAAGTTGATTGGAAAGGTGTCAAGATTATCATTTGATAATCTTCTTGATTGTCATGATTAAATCTCATCATGATCATGATTCAATTAGTTTCCAATTTAATGATTAGCCCATAAAATTTAGATATTGAATCATAATCATTAAATTGTCACATTTATCAATTGTTGATCGGCCATTCAAAGTCAATCCATGATAACTAAATTAAGTGAAAGTTAATAAATTACAATTATGATTAAGTAACTATGATGAAAAAAAAGTGAATGATTTAATTGTCGGCTCAATGTTAATCATGATAATCATTACCAAGGCAAAGTTTTTAGTTGATTATTATTATTAAATAGTAATTAATAATACCAATCAGGTACAAAGCAAAAATAATTTAGATAAGCAATTAAGTAAACAATTATTATCATGATTAAATCAATAAATATTATCGTTGTATTTATAAATATGTGAATGGTTGATTGTGTGAGTAAATTGAATTATACTAATAGTGATTAACATGAGGATAATTAAATATATATTAGAATCATCATCTAAAGGTAACAATTTACCTGAGAAATTGATTAAGTACATTAATTTGATTGTAGTATTGATGATTTAGAGTTACATAGAAAACAATTAGGTTTCATTTTCAATGTCACAATTAATTATCATAAGTTAATTATCATTTCTATTTCAAAGGAAAATGTAATCGACAAAATTAGCCCAGAGAGCGAGATGATGATTAAAATCTCACTTGATAATCAATACAATTAACAATGAAAACACTCACACAGAGAAAGTGCAAGGTTAATTGTTATTAACCGACAATCACAATTAACCAACTGAAAAGTTATCTCCAAGTTAATTGTTAAGGTGAATAAACAACAATCAAATCACGAGAATTAATCAGAAAATAATCAACCAATTTTTATGTTAATTGTATTGGTCACAAGTATAATAATCAATGATCATCATCAATTATTGATTTCTATCAACAGTAATTGGAACAATCAAATATATAACGACAATTTGTGTTGATTGTCACAAAAAAAGAAACAAAATTAACCAACAAAAAATGATTAGTCTCACAAATAGAGACACAAGAGCAATCGTTTGATTGACAATCAACAATTAAATTCAAACAAACTGATCATCATTATGAGCATCGAATTGACCAAAATTATATTGATTAAAATGAATCTTTTCCAAAGGTTATCAAATAATACGAATTCAATATAAAGCATCTTCATGATGATTATCAACATGAGAATCTGGTAATATGAACATTGAATGATTAAGATTCTGATTCGAAATAAGTTCAACATGAAAACTCTTGAATCTCATGACTTTATCTCTTTTCAGTCGTGATGATAACATTTTTTTTCTATCCACCAATGGATCTCTATTTACCTTGGAAATGATCACTGATTTATCATCATCATCATTTAACAAAAAGGGACAATAAGAGTTATGTAGTTGATATAATATCGATAGTGAAGAGACAATTCTGATTCATTTATTCAATGATATACTCTTCATATGATGATCATCATTATGATGAAGATGATGATAAACCAAGGAAGAGAAATGAGTGAGTGAGAGAGAGAGAGAGAGATTCACTTAATAGTTTCGTCTTGTTCTTGACCCAATCATAACTAATGTCCATTAGATGATGAGGATGTAAAAGTAACATAGGGTCAAGATCATATGTCTATGTATTTAAATGATTACAGTTTCATCATTATTTTCATCGTTATTATTGATAAAACATTGATCCAATTGGTTGGGTCAACTAAAAGTCACTCACTGATGACCAATGACCCTTAATCATAAAATGTTAATTGTGCTACCAAATATGTTACATAAGGATTAGATGTCCACTCTTAAGAGCCAATGAATAGATAATATTAATCAATTTGATTGCATAAATATAATCACAATTAACAAACATCAATAGATGACCATTCAAGACATTACAGTTAATCAATATTAGCAAAATTTAATTGGGATAAAATTGATCAAATAAACTGAAAGTAAATTCATCTCAACAATTAACATTGACATTTTATGAGTAACAATTAAATTATCTCGTATTGGTAAATTGGTTAAAATTACTATTCTAGGAAATTAAATTGTCTAATTAGATTAAATTTGATTGTTTAATCGTTTCTCGAGTAGTACAAATTGTATCAATCAAATTTAATCATAAATAAGTGAGTCTTATTACTAATTACAATTAAATTCAAATCACAATTACATTGGAAACTTAATTACGTTTTAATTGTGAATAATGGGTGATGATTATTTAGCCCCAATTGGGAATTTAGGTTAATAGGAAAAGTTAATTATCTTATTAATATAAGACTTGAAATTAGAATCAAATTTGATCCAATTGAACAATTTACTTTTAACAATACAGATTGGAAACAATCAAGTTGATAATCAAAGTGATACATTTACTAAGACAAAACTAATAAGGTAAAGTTAGATCTTAATTGTAACGAATTAACTTTTAATTTTCTTCTTCTTTCATTCAATCATCATCTTAATTATCTTCTTCCTCATTACTTCATCATCCATTATCATCATCATCATTTATAATAAACAAAGAGTTTATTGTGAACAATGAATCTTTTCATAATCATTTTCATTGTCTTCATGTTTACTTTTACCTATCAACAATTAAATCCCAACAATTAACTAATTTCTTAAGTTTGACACACATATACAAGCCCACAGATAAATCAAAATCACAATTTAACTTAATTTATGACCAACTAGATGTGAACATTAATTGAAAAAAAAAGATTTACTATCAACAAAACTAATTATCATCTTAGGATTTGGTCAATAGCAAAATAAGATTAATCAACTAACTAATATCACTTACAATCAATCAATTAATTGTGATGCTGAGATAATCTAGTTGAAGATTCACCTTCAAATTAACTGAATCAATTTCATGGATATTTCAATCTTAATCATGTCCAGTAGTAATGGTCAAGCTTATTTACTTTAACTATTTGTATTGATACAAATTAATACAATATTTTGATTTTGGTTCATCTTGATTAAAGTAAATATTTATCAACAAATTAAACTTGAAACTAAATCCTTGTTAACTGTAGCGCAATTAAGATCATATAATAGTTAACTAAATTGTTACTATTAATAAAATATATAACAAAGATGGACAAATGATGATTAGTTAATATCGTAAATCTAATTGTATTTACTTAAATATTTTTCCTAATTGTTACCACATCAATAGCAATTCAATTGACCAATCAATCAATCATCACGAAATTATTATCAACTGAATCAAATCAATTTAAATATCAACAATTAACTATCAGAAACAAAAGGAAATCATGATAATTGATTGTTATCAATAATATTAGAAAAACAATTTATATAAACTAAATAAGAAATCAGGTCAATAGTCAATGTCAAGAGATTATTAGATAAATTGAATAATTAATAGTTGATTCTCTCTCTCTCTCTCCTCTAATTGTTCAAAATGATTAAATTAATAATCAAAAAGTGATAATTTTTCATGTTTTATCACAATCTGAAAGTTCAATCAAGTTGAGCTGGAAATAAGTTAATCAAGTTTAATACTTGATGCGTATTAGATTATCAAGGGAAATGGTTAATTATTTGTGTGCTGATTTAGTTTGTGGTTTTTACAATTAACGGTAACGTAAAAATGTCAACACAAACTCATTAAGGATTCTTATTGAAATGGTTAACACTTCAAGTTTTCTGGACATTAAGGGTTATGGAAATTAGATTTAAATCGGTTATTTACTTGTCTACTGGAGGAGATCGGACGGAACATATTTTCTGTTGTGGAACGGTCACCCATTGTCGGGCCACTCTGACCATTGATTCGGCATCCATTAGACCATAGCCGAAAGAGTGGCTAACATTACGACCCACTCCGTTGGTTTTCCAGTCTTTTGCATGTAAATTGGCTGGACGAGAGGTTAGAACCACAATATGTTGCATATCCCGCCAGGTAAGTTGTGGACTATCAGATCGAAAGTCGAAATGTATCAACGAAAAAAAAAGAATGGACCAGATCGGGTAACATGTGTAAAAGAAATAATAAAAAAATGTCGATAATTATTCAACAAATTGTGATAACATTGATCAATAATCAACATCTTGGAATCGTGAAAGTTTTATTTAGTGTTAATCATGATTCTCATTGTGTTCTTAAATTAATCAAGATCAAGTTTAATTTCAATATAAAAAAGTTGAAAATATAATCTCTTTTATCAGGATTACAATTAAAAAAAAAGGATAAAATTAAGTTAATTGTAGCGAAACTAATCAAATAACATTGTAATGATTAGTGTTTGGGGAAAGAAAAGTTAATCATTTATAATGTCAACGTAGTTTTAATTGTTAGCCTTTAAATTAGGGAAAATTATTGTCACTATGTTTTAATTGACGATTGAAACAAGGCGATTAATCAACCGTAAGTTAAAGGTTACAATTAACATGAAAACGTTAATTGTTGTCAGGATCACCTGTTAATTAGATTGTTTAAATCAAAAAAATCTTGATTGCCTTGAGGTATTAAAACAGTTTTACTGAGTAACACTAAAGAATAGGTAACAATTTAGCTAATCATGATCAAATTGAATCGTCCGATTATAATTAACATGAAAAACAAATATAATTTGTATTGTAGATTTCAGATTAAAAACTTGTAACAATTAAATCAAAAATGAAACAAAAGTAAAACAATCAATTACAATTAGAAACTTTCTCTTTCTCTCTTTGCTTTCCTGATTATTTAGATTAAGAGTTTTCTTAATTAACTAAAAATTAACCATTTCAAATTCATGTACCTTAATCAACTATATCTAGATTGTTGACAATTAACACTAATCATTGGAGAAAAAATTTCTCACATAGTTGAACATTTAATTGATAACAATCAAAGGTTCGCTGAATGTCAGTGTTGCATGTACTTTGATTTAATTCATTCGGATATCACATTTTTCATGGTTTAATATGGATTCATGATAAATTAATTAATCCATTTGGATAAGCTACCTGATAATTGGGGTTAGATTAGCGTATCAGTTACGCTTTTAAATCAGTTTTGATGGTTAATCATCATAACCTTTTTTCCCAAATGTAAATTGTTGATATACAATTTGATAGATTCAAAATGATTTAAGTAAAAAGTAACAATTAACTTGATTACAATTGTGACACACATACAGATATCTGACCATAAAAATAACCTTGGGCATTGAACAACAAAAGTTGAACACAATTAGTGATGATCACCCTAAATTATTTACGTTGATGTAAATTATTTCAGAGACAATGCTCAAATTATTTAACTAATTGTTAGTTGTTTCTGCAATTATTATCACTTTTTCATCTAGGAAATAATAATGAGAAAGATGATAAATATTGTGAATGTACAAAACACCTTAGCACTCAAGTGCCACTTAATGATATCATAGGAATCCAGGGTTAATGGGATAATCATCATGGAAATTGAAAAGGGGAAATATTTGAAATATGAATTCAATATGAATTAATTGTTCAATCAGTTGATTGAGATACACAATATTATGCTACTCATCAGTTGAACACTCACTTTGCCTCAAGAGCTAAAGCTGAAATTCCAGCGGCTAGTGGAGCCGAAGCTGAGGTTCCAGTGTGCGTTGTAGTGCAACCATGGTGCAGATCGGTGGTCACTATTTGTCTCTCTCCATTGGAACCGGAAGAATAGGTTGTTGCAAGAGTCGATGAACAGGCTTCACTATACCAGGGAACCAAACCATTTTCGGTGGCACTTGAAATGGACAATGTCCAAATTGAATTAGTATAACCATCACAGTTACAATTATCATGTTCCCGACCTCCATTTCCCGATGCCCAAATAAAAATTGAACCAAGCCCTCGGCGTCCCTTTCGAACCCCGTCAATAAAAGCCTTGGTTGCTAATTCTCCAGGTCCATCAACCGTTTGACCATCATCATCGGGACCCCAAGAGGCACTATAAATGTCAATATGATCACGATTAAAGGACAAAGATCGAGCTTCGACTGCATCGGTAACATCACCGTCCAACATTCTTAGTCCACCAACACGAGCATTAAAGGCAACACCCACAGCACAGTTACTATTATTTGCCATGGCGGCAACTTCACCTGCACACCGAGTACCATGACGATTAGAATCAATTATATCATAACGAGGGGTTGGATCATTATCAGAATTGTTGACATCATAACTTGCAGCGGGATCATAATTGGCAATCAAATCGGGATGATCATTTTCAAGTCCATCATCTAAAATAGTAACAACAACTCCCCGTCCTGTTATATTCATGGCCCAAACTTTTTGAACATTCATATCCAATCCTTGACCACGATTTAGGTACCACATTTGGGTCCATTTTGGATCATCGAAAAAGTTTAATCGAGAACCCGATCTTCCAAGTGGCCTTTCATAAGAGTGTAATCGTATTAGATCACGTTTAGTTCGAGAATTAAGTTTCAATTGACTAAAAGAGGTAACAAGTGGCTCAGAGGAGATCGCCTTAAGTTTAGAGGTAACATGGACACCACCCTCTTGACCATTGTCCAAGGAACGTTTAAAAAGCCGCTTATGTTGCAAATGATAAGCATTATCAATTATATGGTCCAAATAAGTGAACCCGTGTTTCTCTGCAATTGAACGTGCAGTTTCAGGTGAACCATCAATATGAGCAACAAACTGATCGGTATAAATTGAAGCTGTTTCATCACAATTTGAAAAATTAATTAGAATAGAGATAAATAGAAAGTAACGTAAAAAAGATGACCAATGGTCAAGAGAATGATGATGAGAACGATGATGATAATGTTTAGATGATTGATTAATTTTACGTCGCTTAAAATCCAATTGATTAAGATCACAGAAATAACGATTCACTTTGACAGTAGTTGATTTGATTGAGAGATTAACTTGAGTTGGATTAACGTTCTTGTTTTCATTTTTATCTTTTAAATCATCATCATGTTCATGGTGGGAATCATTACTTTGGTTAAGATTACAATCAGTTCTGTAGTTATCAATGATGGTAGATGTTGGTGAAACAAACACACTCGATTCAAGCATAATTTCATCTAATACTAAAACCATGATAGAAACATTTCTCACTCTCTCTCTCTCTCTCCTTTCAGCTCTCCCACTTCATCTCACTTACATTCAGCTTTTTTTTTCACACTCGCGTATTCATATATATTGAAACTCACTCGACTCACTCAGATGTTTCTGTCTCTCCTTGATAATACACTCACTATGTTCTGCTCATAAGCTCTCTCAATCTCTTCTCACTCAATCTTTGTAACTCCTTCGTCCTTTTGATGAAGTTTTTTTTTCTTCTTCTCTCCTTCCAAATGAATCTGAGTATCTTGAGGTTACTTGATGTCTTTTTTTGTAGTTGTTGTTGTTGTTTCAGTTCAGAGCTTTTTTTTTCACCAAGCCAACAACAATTAAAGGTTTATAACTGTTTCTTAACGTTGATGACCTTCAACCTGGTTTTATGCTTGTTGTCAATGTTATCGTTGATTGTTACTATTAATTGTTACACTCAACAAGCTAATTGCGGTGAATTGGCTTCAATTTTTTGGAGCTGATGGTTAACTGTTGTTGATGATTTACAAAATATAACCAATTATTGATTGAAGTTTGATGTTACACTGTTATTGTTGTTGTTTGTGTTGATGTTGTGGTTTTGTTGGTTGTGTAATGATGATTTATGTTTAATCAGACTCCAGACACATGATGATGATTATGATGATGATGATGATGATGATGGACAATCACACAAAATGGCACAAATTTCAAGAGTCGATATCGACTGTTAGAGAAAGTGATACAAAATTGATTACAAAGTAATGAAGGGAAAACAAGAAAATCAATTTAAATGATTGTGTTTGGTGATTATCATTAGCAGTGGGGAGGGAAAGTTGAAAAATACTCTAGTGGAAACAAATAGTTTGTAGGAGGCGGTAAGAGAAACGGATAAGTTGTTGATAGATGATGATTAGCAGAAAGAATTGGGATGAAACAGTGAAGACAAATGATTTATCAATTGTCCAGTTTAACTTGGAATAACAAAGATGAGCAGAAAGAGGGGGAAAAACGCACAGAGATGATTAAGATGATATTTTTTGATTTCTTTTCTCTATTTTGACAGAGTGACAAATTGTTGAAATCAAATTCTCAAGTGAAATTCAATTTTCATAACATCAAATTCATGGTGACTTTGTGTTTATATTAAGAATATCAAATTTCCAATCGAAAAAGAGAAGAAAAATCTTTTCCTTTTTTCTTTATGAATGTGGTCAGTTTTTTTTTGTTCTTCTTCACTTTCGTTCGGTGATGGTCAACATGTACAATGGAAAATTTATGAATCTTTTTTGTTTCTCTTCTCAGTTAGAATCGGTAATCAGAATCTTTATATTGGTGAATACGATGTTCGAATGAATCAGGTCAAAAATGAAGACGAAGCCAAAGTGACAATTCTTTTACATTCGACTAAGTTTACTCCTTCTTGTTCTTGTTATTCCTTATTTATTTTCTTCTTCAATTCCATTTCATCATCTTTATGAATTTTCTCTTGTTGACTTTATCCTTTTGTTTTCTTCTTCCACACTTGAAAATTGTTTCCTGTTCTTGTTGTCTACTGTTGATAATCTTATTCTCTTTGATGGAATCACTTTGGAACAAAAAAAAAAGATAGAAAAGAATATAAATAAAGTTATTCAATCTATTCTTCTCTTGTTGTTGTCCATTTTGTCTCAATTCTTATTATTTTCATGGTGGTTGTTGTTGATTATCGTTGAATCTGAATTGAAAGGGTTACAATTTAACCTTAATCAAAAGAGAGAGACATTTGAAGACAAACAATTAAGCACATAAACATCACTTGTTCTTTGTTTTTTTTCCTCCAATAGGTTAGTTATAAATACCAACAAGTTAATCTTAACAATTCATCTAATGTTTAACCATTGATGGAGCTTTGTGGTTAGATAGAAATCATCAGGTGACATGTTTCATCTTTATTCTGATTGCTGAACTTGCAACTTGTGAAGGTATCAAAATGGCTGAAAAGAATAGGAAAAAAGAATAAATTAAGAAGAGAAACACCAAAGATGTTGCAGGAAAAAAACATGATGGAAAAAGAGAGTTACCTTTGTGATTAAATTCGACAATTTACACATGGTGACAAGAAGGCAATTAGCATAAGTTGATGAGAGAGAAGGAATGAAAGAATCCACAGGAAGAATGAACAGAGGAACAAAAGTAATTAGAAGTTGGAACAAGAGTAGAAAATGAATTTCTATTTCTTATCATAATGAGAGAGAACAAAAATCTGCAACATGTTGACATCAGCATCTCACCACAGCAGAAAAACGGTAACGATGGAAGTTTATAAAGCCATTAATCAGTAACATCTTAATTGGTACTTAAATCACAATGGCAATTGATTAGAATTGAGAGAGTGAGAGAAAAAAACAAAACAAAGAGCACAAGATAAAATAGAATAGAACAAAAAAAAAATTCTTTTCTCTTTTTTTTGTTTTTCTTCTTTTAACTATTCAACTTATTAATTTTTTTAGAAGAAATCAATGACGACAATGGTGAAGATGAGCAAAAGATCAATTGACTTGAACGGATAATCTTGATTAATCCAACTATTGATCAAATCACAGAAAAACAAAGATCAAAACAAAAAAGACTAACCCAAAATCTTATGTATCAATAACTATTGACATGGACAATTAATCAATCACAATTATAATCATCATGACAATCACAGTTTACTAATCAGTCATCAATCAAGGTTAAATTGTCTTCTCCAGAAATAGTAAATTAACTTGAAACAATTTAAAAAATAGAAAACCGATCAATTAAAACAAAAGATAAACAAATAAAGAAATCAAATAATTAATAAGAAATTGAGTTTAATTAAGAAAACAAGTTTTTCTTATTGATTTTCATTCGGTAAAAAGTGTCGCCATCTGGTGAGCGAGAATTTAACTTTTGACATTCGAGGGAAAAAAGTTAAACTTTTTCAGCTTCTGGTAAATTTTAATTTGATTAACTTTACCTGTGAATTTTAAAATTAAATTTTCTATTATTATTGTTCATCTTATCGCAAAGACCAAGTTGATACCGAAATTATGATAGTTCAACAGTTACTTTAGTTGTTTTCGTTACTCTTAAAACTGAGCTATTGCTGCGTCGTAATAATTTCAACCATTTTTGTTTTCTTGGTAAATTTTGTCGGTAATTTGATACAACTTTCTTTTCTCTATCTCAGACTTATTCTTTGAATAGATTGAAATTCTAATTTTATTTACTCCTTTTCTTCATGACAAACCTAATGAATCAACTGTCTTTGGACCTGATTTTCACCTTCGTCTCAAACAACAAATCTAATGAGTTAACCCTCTTTTATATATGTATTTACCTACATTAGGTATATTTAAACATGAAGATTTGAATGAAATAAACAAAATACAATAAATGAAATATATGAATAACAGAACTGAGCGACTAGCTCAGTGTCCTAACGGGCCTCCAGGGCAGCCTGGAGTTTATGTATGAAATATTAGCCACTGGCGTAAATAAAATTGGATTGATTTTAATTTGTTTCCAATTGTTATACTTAAACAGGTTAATTGATTGATTTTCTTTTTTTCTAATACAGTTCAAATTGGTTGGATTCTAACTGTGAAGAGTAAATGAAGAAAGATTTGATTTGCTTTTCATTGATTAATTTTCGGAGGCGAAAGCTACGAAATAAAAACAAGAGATGGCAGCATTGGCATCGAATAATTTTTTATTATCAAAAAGATTAAAGTTAATTAAAGTTGTTGAAATTAAAAGTTAATCTCAACAATGTGTTATATTGTTGTACAAGATGATGATGGTTCTTAATTACAGCTCAAAATAAGAGTTGATTAAGAGAAAGAGATAAAGAAAGAGAGAGAGAGAGAGTTGATAGATTGATATGTTTGTTGGCAATCAAAATCGATGTGATAAATTAACCTGATACAAAAAAGAGAAGAAAAAAATTAATTGTGACAATTTAATGAAATGAAAGAAAAACAAATGAATGGTTAATAAGAATACCTGATGACTCGAATCACATCATAACATCACCACCTTATTCACCACGAAGAAGACCAGAAGGAGGACCCTGAACCCGTGGCGATCCTTCATCTACTAATCCATTACGATTAACAAGACCTTGATCACCCTGTTAGAAAATGTGAAATTAAATTAACAACAATTAACAGGCAATCAAGAGCAATTCTTGAAAACATCAAACGCCTCAAACTGACATTGAACAAGCAAAAATAAATCATAATTAAATCAAGGTAAAGAGAGAGACTTTATATTTTGATAGGACAACTCAAGAAAATGATAAAATGTACCAGAGAAAGAGAGAGAAATGAAGATGAGGATGAGGATGAAAAGATGAAGAGGAGGATGATAAAGAGAGAGGATGAAGATGAGCAAAATAAGAAGGATGTAAAAGTAGGTAAGATAAACATTGGAAAAAACGTATTTAAATTGAGCAAAATAATCTGTCAACTGATTTGATTTATGTGATTTCCAACTGAGTTGTTGTTAGAAAATCAATTTCCAATTTCAATCCCAATTGTAGTTTATATTTTGTTCCCAATGCTTTTAAATCAGAATCATTTCAATTCTGAATGAAGATAAAAAATATTCAGGGGAAAAGATAAACTCCTGATGAACATTGAATTGAACAAACTGAGAACCAAGTTTTCCAACAATCAATGTAAATATTAAATTATCATCACAATGAGAATCATTTTTCAACCACACTGACAACTAAATCAGTTGATTGTTGATTAACTATTCACATGAATACAATAATAGTGAAACAATTCAAGTAATTATCTTTCACTTACCGTTAACACTGAATCACCTTTGTCACCTTTGGGTCCCTATGGATTAGTGAAAAGAAAAAGAAAAAAAAACAAATTTAAATCTACCGATTAAAGGTAAAGGATTAAGATGGATTATCTTTGAAAGATTAATAATGACAAGAAAAAAAGAAACAAAAGAATATTAAATAAAAGAAATAATCAAAACAATTAAAAGAAAATGGAAAATAATTAATCTTAATCAATGCAGGATTTTGGGAGATGCTAATCCAGTTCAATTAATATGAAGACAATTAACAAAAACATAATCATTAATTGTGACAAAATCTGAAGGGATTAAACAATTTGGATTGATCAATTTTTGTTAATTCTGATTTGGTTGATTAGTTAATTACCGGTAAGCCAGGGATTCCATCAGTTCCCTTTATTTATATTAATTATTATTAATCGTAACAATCAACAAATTGTTATTTGTGTTAATATTAATTTAATTTTTGCCAATGGTTAATAATCATATTCATCCAATTAGTGTTAGGTAATTAAGGAAGCAAAAGAAATGATTAACAAAAAATTAGAGATAAACATCAAGAAAGAGATTAGGATTAAGATTATCATCATAATCATCATCATCATTAGTTGATTACTATTAAATTGTTACAATTAACTTGATGATCCATCTTAATAATAAGCTATTAAAACTAATAATATATAAATAAATTGTTAAGATTTATCCAAAACTTAATCCGGATCAATAATATACGAAAATAATTGTCTCTCTTGATAATAATTTCAATGGTTCCTCCCTTGTTATTAACTTAATTGTTACTTAATCAAACTAATTGATGATTAATGATTTTTCATCATGGGTTAGATGTTTTTTTGGATAATCAATAAACTGGACAAACTTGGCTTGACCATTTATAGTGGACATACCGGAAATCCAGTAACACCCTTCTCTCCGCTAAGTCCAGTCTCACCACGATCACCCTGATGTTAACAATTGGATTAACGGGTTAGATGAATGGAAAAAGGGATTAGGATTAGGATTAAGATTAACATGGTTAATCCAGTAGTCAAGGTAAGGGGGAAAATGTTAGTGGTTTTTTAGTCGCAATTAGTTAGTTAATTAGTTAATAATCACCTTCATCCCGTCAAGACCAGGAGGACCCTTGATATTAAATCATTTTTTTATGACCACAATAATTTAAACATAATAAATTGTGTTTTTTTGTTTTAAAAGTAAATTAATATAGTGTGATAATAGTAATCATAATTAGTAAATTAAATTGGATTAATTGTAAATTGAAAGAGAGGATTTTTTTTTTGAAAAAAAACAAGAAAGGGAACCAATGGAAATGAATGAGAACGAGATTGCAAGAAAAAGCATTGATTTAGTTTTCGAAACGTTTTCTTAATTGTAACTGATTAACCGTCAATGATGTAGATTACCTTGTTGATTTAAGAGTTAGTAATAAAGTTAATTGCAATTAGATAATTGTTATTTCATACCATTAATCCTTGTTCACCTTTAAGACCTTCAGGTCCAGGTAATCCCATAGCTCCTTGATCACCTCTGTCACCCTTTTCACCCTGAGAATTGAAATAGATTTGAAACAAAGAGAGATAGAATTGAGTTAAATCCTCTTTGATTAAAGTTTAATCAATCATGTAAATCAACAATTAACTAAAAATATATACTCACTGGAAAACCTCTTAATCCATCATTTCCAGGATCACCTTTTATACCGGGAGGACCATGGATACCAGGTAAGCCCTGAAAATGTATCAAGTAAAAAAACAAATTATACCGACACAAAGATTACAACAATTTGCAATTACGAAAGTTATTACAATTTAATTAAAATTGTAAAAGCAAAGATTAGTGGTCAGATTAGACATAATTAACTTTCCATCATCCTTTTCCGTTTCTACTTGAAAAATAAACGAAAACTTTTTCTCCAAATAATTAAAGATAATCATGATTACTTCAATATGATTTAGAGAAAGCAATTACCTAAATTATCATAAAAGATACTGGGTAACAATTAAGATTGCTCTAAATTGCTTCCATGATGCATCTCTCCCTCTCTCTCTCTCTCTTGTACGGTCAAGTAAAACATCAACTCTCACACTAAAATGTGATTCTTATGATGACCAGCGTGTATTATGAATGAAGATTAGGCGTTTCCCTGAAGAAAAGGTCAATCTTTGAATGAGGAAAAAAAGATCTGATTTTTGTTTGGATAACAATGTTTTCCTTTATAGATTATCAGGTAAAACCATCTATGTATTATTAACCAACCCACTTTCTTTCAATATTCACAAAACATGCAGAAGAGAGAGAGAGAGAGAGAGAGAGAGAGAGAGATGATGATGATGATGATGATTTAGTAATAATGGAGTCGAAATTCCCACAAAAAGAAATTCAAATGAGTATATAATTATCTCCTTACCGGTGGTCCTGGAGGGCCTGGTGGTCCTGATAAAGATTCAATCCTATCACCAAATGCTTCATAGTCTTTGATGTATCTCATTGCTTGAGGCTATTTTGAGACAAAGAGGTAAGACCAATTAGTTAATCACAATTATCATCACTTGGATTAATTACTTAACATCTCAATCGATGTATTAATATTAATGGATCATTTATAATCTTATATCAATGCTTATTAATAATGCAACTGATTACAAGTTGATTGTTTATTTTTCGTATCCTTAATTGTCAAGAGACAGAAAAGTTGATTTAACAATAATACTTAATATAATCAATGTTTGATTTATCTCATTATTATCAATATGATTATTATTAATATGACAATTTATTGAATGTAACTTACCACTAGATCACCTTTGTCACCTTTGTCACCTTTCCCTCCATTTGTTCCTGGTGGTCCAGGTAAACCAGGTGGGCCCATCATACCTGGTGGACCCATGTCACCCTAAGATAGTCAATTGTTAATTAAATGTAAACAAAATGTCAATTTAGTTGATAATTATGATTAAATTTTGTCTCAACTTTTAAGTTTATCACTGAAAATAATCAAAAAGTTAAATATAAACAAAAAAATTGAGCTAATTGGTAAACAATGTAATAAGATATTCAAACAAACCTGATGACCCTTATCGCCTCTTTCACCCTGAGGTCCAGGAGGACCTTGAGGTCCCGCTGTGCCATCCAGCCCATCTCGACCTAGAAGACCTTGTTCACCCTAAATTGTTACAATTAACAAACGAAAAAAAAAACAAAATTGTCAATACAAAAGCAAATAGAGAAAACAAAATGACAAATCACTTGAATTACAATTTTCTCTAAATCGTAACATTGATTGAGAATTGATTACATTTTGAATGATCTTCAATCTAATAGAAATGAAGGAAAGTATCAAAAGAAGAGGATGAAGATGGAGATAAAGAAAATACAAAGAGAGAGAGAGAGAGAGAGAGAGATGATAATGATGATGATAAATTGAAAAGGTAAGATAACCATCTAAACGTATTTAAATTGTTGGAAAAGGTAATCCGTTAACTGTGATTTGATTTATGTGACTTCCAACCGAGTTGTTGTTAAAAAGTAAAATCAATTTTCAATTACGTTTTTCCCTTCATTTCAATGTCAAAAGCAGTTAAATTGTTTGAATTTAGACATGAACAGATTAAAGATTAAAAAAACGAAACCCAAACTTTACCTGAGGACCAGGTAATCCAATGTCACCTTTCTCGCCTTTAGCTCCAATACCGATCTCACCTTTGGGTCCTGCGTCACCGGGTGGACCAGCTTTACCAGGTTTACCCTTGAATTTTTGGTGGTAAAAAAAACGCAAAAAATGATTACAGATTAATTTCAACTGAATTAACAATCAACCCATGCACACAGACACACACTCACTCAAACACTTAAAGACAAGATTGCAATTTAAATCTAAATCATAAATCATGATTAAAACATGATTTTTGTAATACTTACTTTTTGCAAAGTCAATTTTTGTGTAATTGGTTTGCATTGAAATCAAACAGACAAAATTTAAAAGCTTGGTCGCAGTATCGCAATTAAATTGTTAGGGAATCAGTGGATTAGTAGATTAGTTGATTAGAGAGTCTCTTAATTTTTTTTCTCTTCAAGATCAGATTAACATCAGTTGATGTAAGTAAATAATTAATCACCATGTAATCATTTAGTGTAATCATTGACGGAACCACACCTTAATTGCTAATCATTTCATTTGAAATCAACAAGGTAAATGCTTTTCTTTGCTTGTTCAATTCTCACTCAATAAACAAAAAATGAGAATTTGATTAATGATAAAAGCAACAAATCAAACAATTTAGGATAATTATTGACAATTAAATTTAAGTAATTCAGGCAAATAAAGATGCAAGGATATTTTATCAATTCTATTATCGATAATAACTGAGTCCATACCCTTTTGCCCCTTCGTCCTCTTTCACCTTTATCACCTTTCTCTCCATGTTCACCTTGTGGTCCCTGTTGACCAGTATCACCCTTTTGATTAACACACCAACAACAATTAAGCAATCACAACAATTTAAAGGTTTAATTTTACAAAATTATCCATTAATTTGGAAAAGCAAGAAAAAAGAGAGAGAGAGAGTGAAATTTAAGTTAATTGGGTTAGTTTTCTAGTAGTGGATGTTAATTGTTAGTGGGTAAAAGGTGAGGTTACTGCGACCAATATCATTGAATCATTTGAGGTCAAAGGTTGTGTGGACAAAGTGATAGGACGTACCTTTCGCCCTGGGGGTCCAGCGGGTCCAGGAGGACCGGGTGGACCTGCAGGTCCTTCAATAAATCCCGTTGGGAAGGCATTACCATCTAGTGTTGTTGTTAATCCTCGATCACCTTTGTCTCCTTTATCACCCTGATTAAATTGTTAGAAATTAAAACAACAATTAATCAACTATAATTGTAATCAAATCGTTTGTAATAAAAATTGAACCTCAAAACATTAACCAAAACTATGAATTACAATTTAAATTGTTCATATGTAAAGTGCATTTCACCGAGTTTCCAACAAGTTTTTCTTGAATAACTTTTTTGTTTTTGAGTGTTAAGACCCCAGACTCGAGTTATGGTGGTTTAGGCCATACTCAATTATCGTATTAAAATATCAAGGTCATTCCAGTCATTTTGTTAGGATAAGTTTTCAAGGTCATTTGATGGTCACAATCGATTCAAATTTAAAAAACCAACTCATCATCAATTTCTCACTCAATTTACAAAATCTTTCAGAGTCGCAAAATGAATGAAGTACTCAACAAGCATCAAATTGTGTATTTACTACTTGTTTACGCCCGTGATGATCATATTCCGATCAATTGGCATTTCCTTCAAACAAATATTGATCATTTTCGGGATCTTGGATCGACTACTCATGATATGGAGAGCATTAAACGACACTACAAATTGGTCTCCATGGTCTATGATGAAGCGTACAGTCGTGAATGGAATTCATCACTCCGTGAGGAGTATGCAAATCGTCGAGAGAATGATTTGCTATTGCCTTGACTAAAGCCCATTCACCGTTCACATCTCATTTCTAGGATTTGTTTATTCTCTTTCATTTCTTCTGTATGTGTGCTACTAGTCGTGAATGGAATTCATCACCCCATGAGGAGTTAGCAAATCGTCGAGAGAATGATTTGCTGACGAGCTTGACGAGTTTACAACTTTTGAAAATTCTTAGTTGCTGAGATATAGCGTTTTTGAGGTGGAATCCTTTTCATTCAACTTTCATTAATTTGCTCGTTACAAAGAGCATGAGAGTCGAGGAATCTTTGTGATTTAGGCTCATGTTGGTTTTTTAAATTTAAATCAATTGTGACCATCAAATGACCTTGAAACTGTATCCTAACAAAATGACTGGAATGACCTTGATATTTTAATATGACCATTGAGTATGGCCTAAACTACCCTAACTCGAGTCTGGGTTCTGAACACTCAAAAACAAAAAAGTTATTCAAGAAAAACTTGGTGAAATGCCCTGTATAAATCAACACGAGATAATTTTCTAATTGAATGAAATTATCAGTAATTGAACAGATTAACTTATCATCATTTAAATTAAATTCAAATTATAATCTAATTTTCTTAATGATTGCAACTACTCTTACTACTATTAAGTTACTCTTTAAACAACCAATTAGTTTTCGTCTTCTTAATATTATTGCTTTTTTATTACCAAACTTGCATCTATCTTTTAATCATCTTAATGGAGAGATGGTATTTGGATTTATAGACAATTAACTGATTGTTACGTGTAAAATTTAAATTGATCAATAATTACCTTGGGTCCAGGTAAACCATCCTTACCTATTGGGCCAAGAGGACCTGTTGGCCCCGGTGGACCAAGTTCACCTCTGGGTCCCTGGATAAGGTAAACAAGAGATTATCCAAAAATGATTAATTGCTGGATATTGACAGAGTGATGAAAAACTAATTGTGGTAACAATTTGATGAATGATTATCAATAATTGTGATTGAAATTGTAATTTGATTATCAGTAAGTAACTTGTACACTCAATTGAAAGGCAATTTTAATACAATATCAATCAACTGATTGTGTATGTGAGTGTTAAGTTGTTACGTTGATTACTTTTCAAGTATTGATCATCAATCTCAAAAGGTTTACTCAACAATTTAACTTGAAATAATCAACTTACCGGTTCACCAGGAGATCCTATTAGATATTATCAAAGGAAGAGGTAAAAAATACAACAAGAGAAATATAATCAATAAAAGATAATGTTAATTTGATTGTTGATTATGATAATTAACCACAAAAAAAACTAATTACAAGGTAAAAATTAAAAGTTAATCATGATAATCCAAGAGATAATCTTGAAACTAGTGATTTAATGAAACAAGTTCATTGACATAAACGTTAATCTTTTCAACATTGATTATCAAGATGATGAAATATTTGATTAATTTGAAAATTTTATATCAAAGTAAATTTGATCAAATGATTAAGTGATTAATTAATTGAATGATTAACTTACCTATTCTGCCATCAAAACCAGGTAATCCAGTTAAACCAGGAGGACCAGGGGGACCCGGTGGACCAGCATTACCAGGTTCACCCTTTGGAGGATTAAGAAACAATTAACAGTTAATTAAACCCAATTAAGAGTACGAAAAAAAAAAATCAATCAAAATTATTGTAAATTGTAAATAATTAAGTAAACAAATTACAATCAAGGAAGGAAAAAAATAATAATAAAGAAACAAATCAAAATTAACAACGGAATTAAATTTACAATCTAAAATAATAATAAGTATAAATTGATAATGACAAGTAAATAAATCAACAATTTAATTGTAATAAAAAAAGTTAATTGAATGAGAAAAAATAAATGAATGAATGTTAATTGTATGAATGGGGCGATAAAATTAAATTGTCATCAAGCTAAACAACAATTTGATTAACTTACTTTTAACAATAATAAATCACCAGGCGATAAAGTAACACCCAGACTTGCTAATCCCTAATAAGAGTTAATTAGTTAATTGTGGTAGAACATGTTAATTAGATGTTTGATTACAATTAATCAACATGAATCAAATGCTAATTCAAACCTTTATAATTATTTGTTTATTAACTAATTACTTATCAAGATGAATATTATATACATTCAGTTGATGGACGAAACAATCAACTAATTGGATAAAAATTGTCATGACAGAAATTGAATCAATTGTCATAATTGTAACTTGATTTAAATTTTAATTTGATTATTCTCGAGATAATTTAACTTTTCGCTCAATTAGATTAACCTGAACTCCCACCCTTTCGGTGTAATTTTCATTCAACCCACTGATTTACTCTGTCATTCTGTCAATTTTTACCAAACCTACTCTCTCACTTACTCACTCATTCTCTCTCTCTCTCTCTCTCTCTATTTTACTCTCCCTTCTCGGAGATAAAATGATAATCTTGAATTTTACAATATCGCTTGAGGAGGAAACGGAAGAAAAGTTATTATTATTGTAATTGCGAGGAAACTGTGAGTGGGTTATTTTTGAATTTATTTCCAGACTTGTGTTACCAATGATAATATTAATGGTTAGTTGATTAAGATTTATTCAAGTAATTAAATGAATATGAATCAATTAGGCCTTGAATAAATTGGTGAGTATGGTGATAAAGTGTATACAAGTTTATGTGTACACTTTATCATCTTCAAGATGATAACACTTAACAGCTTAAAGTGACAATTGTTAAAAGAGGGACGAAAAATCAACTCTCATGAAAAGAGACATGATTCTGATTGTTGGTAAATTGTCAGTGACAGGTTAATTCAATGATTGACCAGAATCGTGCCAATTCATTGGTAAAATAAGCAGAAATTCAATGAGAAGAGGAGGGAGGGCGGGATAAGGAAATAGGAGGAAGAGGAAGAGTCGATTATATTGGATTAACAGTGTCAATAAAATTAATTGTATCTATTTTTTTTCTCGTCTTCATTTCATTGACTCGATACGAAGATACAGTTAAAAGTTGGATAATAGATGATGATGATATGGATAATGATAAAAGGAAGATGTGATTTAGAGATTGTGATGATGATGATGATGAGGAGTAGGAGGCAATATCTAAACAATTTAACTGTTAAACATTACCAATGAAAATAGTTATGATAATCGCAACGGAAAAGGATCCTTTTAAAATGGTTAGATTGACAAAACGATGATTCAAATTGAATCAATTTATGATGATGGAGATGAAGATGAAGATAACGGGACTATAATAGATTGAATAAATTGCCTGAAGAATAACCCAAAAGATGTCATTTCTTCATGTCACAATTTTTAACATTCTATTGACAAGTTGATTGTTGAATATAAATAATTATTTCATCAATCTATTTGATATTAATAGTGGAAACTATACCATCAACATCTTACCGACTGATTATGATTAAGATTTGATGAAAATGGATCATCATCATCATCATCATGATTACTGGACTTGGAATCAAAGTTTTTCATCAATAAATAATTGATTCTGATTGGATTTATATCTTAACTATTCTGTTAATATACAAACGATGTTGTTTAACTAACCTTGAGAGCAATTATCTCAGCATACCCGAGTGATCCTCCTTGTAATTGAGTGACTGACCGTTTAACTCCACCCTAGATTGATAATTAATCAAAATAAAAGTTGAACATTAATTGTGTTCATAGGAAAAAAAAAATAACGTAATAACAATCAAAAAGCTAATCAAAAGGAAAACCAAGTTTATTTAAAGGTATTAATACCAATTAATCAATATCACAAGTAACCATCCAAGTAAACATAACAAGAGATTAGATAAAAAGTGTTAGTATATTAATCTTATATTTAAAAGATAACAATATTAATTAAATGTAAACAACTCGTTTTCATGTAAAATAGTTAAAAAGTTGCAAATTGTCAATTTCTGTATTAGTATTGTTAGTTAATTGTTTAAAAGTAAAGTTTGAATTACATTTGATTCATTCAGTGTATATGTAGTATTGTGAATATAACACATATCAAAATATTTACTTATCACTCACCTTGGTTGTTGTGAATAAATCAAATCCACTTTCTCCCTGTCAAAGAAAATAGTAAATAATATTATAAAAGTATAAGAAAACCAATATTAACCAATGATGAAAAAAAGATGAGGAAAAGATGAGAAAACATGATAAGGTGTAAGAATACGAGAAAGAGGAGGAGGAGGTAGGGATGAAGATGAGGAAGGAGAGAGAAAAAATGATATTATGAACTCAATATCTAATAATAATAATACATGAGATATATAAAGTGATGATGATGATGATGATGGTGATGATAATGTTATGAAAATGATAAATGGATTAAAACAGTAACTTACTTTGTCTCCTTTATCACCTTTTTCTCCCTGGTATTATTGATTAGAAGATGAAGAATAATAATAAGAAAGGAAAAGAAGAAAAGAAAACATTGAATATACACAACACACAATTGAATTAAATTGTATTAATTTAAATTGGAAAATCAATAGACTAGTTTCACCATAAACATGATGAAACATGAAGAAATTCATTTATCTTTGACTGAACAAATTATCAAAAATCACATCATCGATTAAAGATTTATAAACATAATAGAGTGAAGATTCATGTATAGAGATTGAGAATAAGAATCATGCATCATGGGTAAGGGTTTGTAACATGCAATCACATGTATGTGATTATTAACGATCCAACTATTATCAGAATGTTATTTTCATGGTAAAGGAAGAGAGCAGAAAGAGAATGAGAGAGAAGAAGAGGGAGATGTTAAAGGTTATACGGTAATTTGATAGGAGATTAAATTAAAGCTACAGAGACACATGATAAATAGTGAAACCTAAATAATCAGCTGATGATTGACAGTTTGGTTGAAAATTATTCCATTTTTTTTTCTTGTTGCTTTCTCGATGATAATAACATGCAGATACATAAGAGTTGAATCAATGATGTAAGTTGAAACGAAGCTTGGAAAACAAAAAATTGTGTTAACAATTCACTCAACAATAACCAATTGCACCAATGATGAACAGAAATTGATGAAGATTTAATTTGCAATAATAAGATGAAAGTATATATGTTTGTGAGAGCATGTTGATTGCTGATTATTATCATGATTATGAGCAATATCTTGGGATGATGAAGAAGCTGTTGGTTAAAACATACATAGTTGGAAGATGTAGGATGCTGATTAAAGATGATTATCAGTTGATTCAAAGGAAGTAGATAATGATGATAGAAACAATAACAACAATGATAAAGATGAAGATAAGGAGCCCATAAAGGATGATGATGATGATGATGCAGAAAACAGAATCACTTATAAACACAACACTGAGAAATTTATCAAAGAAACAATACACCAACAGATGATAACGATTATATTGATGATCAACAAGATGATAAGAGATGAAAATGTTAATGAAGATGTTGATGATGATGATGATGATTTTGTTACTATTAAGACAGTAACGTTGAACACAATGTTTTTTGATGAAATTGTTGATAATAATCACTTGAGAATCATCTTATTTACCCATGATGATGATGTTGATGAAAATGATAATGTTTCTAACAAACTAATTAACCAAATCTAAAGAAAATAACAATTAACAAATAGTAACAATTAACTTACAGGATCACCTTTGGGACCATCTATTCCAATAGCACCCTTTTCAGTTAAGGAGGAAAAGAAATGTATGAATTATTTTAGATTTCTCATAATTAATTAGTTAAATTAATTGTTCATGTGTAAACTTTTGTGATGACAACTAATTAAGTTGATTATTATTATACTTACAGGGAAACCAGGCTTTCCAGGCGGTCCAACTGGTCCCTTAATGGAAAATGTTGACAAATATTATAAAGAAATTAGTAAATTACAATTATTAATGATGATAAACTAAAGGTAAACAATTAAATGATTAAATTAATGGCTTCTAATCAATTGCAATACTTACAGGGGATCCAATTGTTCCTGATTCACCTTTTTTACCCCGTTTACCTCTTTTACCGGGTGGACCTTTAAAGGTAAATGTAATAGAGAAAGATGATTGGAAACAATTAGATGAACAATTTAATAATCAAATGATGAGAATGATTTGTTCTAATGATAAATGTAAATAATTTTTTCTATGAAAAAAGAATTGCAATATATTCAGATAACAGGATTAACTAAGAGAATGAATCTTGTAATAATAATAAAGAAACAGAAAAGAAATCAAGAACAGAATAGAATTAAGAGAGAAAAAAAAATAATAGAATAACGAATTCTCTATGCAAATATATGAAAGTAAATCATCAATTAGATTGCTAAGTAATGATTAAAATAAACATGAGATATTTTCTTTCTTTTTCTATTCTAATTCTCAGAGTTAATCAAGATTGTTATGAATTAATACATGATGATGAGAATAGGAGATAAAACTGATATCGAAGACGAAAAGTGAGTTGAACAATTAACGTCACTATTATTATTAATCAATTGAATCTTTTGCTCAACTAGAGAGATGCTAAAAAAAGGAAAATATCCTTAATCATAAATCGCTTCTATTTATGATTGAATTAATCGGAGAGAGAAGATTAAAGATTAGAGAGGAAGCGAAGGATAAAGCAAAAGATATCACAAATTCTAATACAAAGAGATGTTAATATCTATGGAACTTTTGTAATTATCATCAATTTTTTTCTCTCTCTCTCTCTCCTATTCTATTGGAATATTGGTTACATTCAATGTAAAGACAAAAAACTAAGCTGATACTTTTTGAATGGAAAAAAAATCCACAGATTATGGAGAGATAGGATTACGTTGGAATAGAGATATAATTAATTAACGAATAATTTTTTTCTCTCGCTTCTTTTTTTCTCTTTTCTCTCCGTTACTTTGTTGTAGAAGTTTTTCATTTTCACTCTCTATCTTTCTCTTTCTCTCTCTCTGCCAAAGTGAAATAGAGACTATAAGGTATTAAGAGAAAAACCAGAAAGAGAGAGAGAGAGAGAGAGAGAGAAAATAAAATAACATAGAACATAAAATGGAAGAAAAAAATACATATAATATTCTACGAAAGAGAATAAATAAGAAAAGAGAAAAGAACAAAATGATTCTACATTTTTGTCAGGTATTGAATTTGTTTCTTCTCCTTTTCTTGTTGTATTTTTCTGACAAGAAGAAGAAAAATAAATGAAGGAGATTGGAAACATTTTACTTCTCTACTTACCCTGTGGACAATTACATTCTGGATTTGATCGTTTAATCCTACTGGACGAAACAGGTAAAGTCTCTAATGAAGCCAATCGCTTCTCCAATTGAATATTTCTGATTAGAGTGAAAATTGATATACTACAAGCAATAAGACACAGAAGAGATAAAAAAATGGTTGAATGATTAGGAACGTTGACCATCGTATTATTTTTTTTCTTTTAGAAAATGTTAAGATGGAGAGAGAGAGAAAGAAATAGACACTAGTTAATAATAAGATGTTGTATCAATGATGATGAAGATGATGATTAAAGATGAAGATGAAAAATGATTGATGATTTATAATAATAATAATAAAAAAGGTGATCGACCCTCGCGTCCAGAAGGATGATGACAACTCACACAATTAGTTAAACTATCACTAAATGATAGGTATAAACAATTAGGTAACTAATTAGATACATTAATATTTATAATAAATAGTTTGTTGTTTGGTTAAAAATGTCGTACAATTAATAGTTAATAAAAAAACAACATAACACCATTCACAGTTTCTACTGGCAGAGTCTAAGAGTAAATGTTATCATTTCTGTTGACTTGAAAATTTCTCAAATAGAATAGAATTTCCGCCGAAAAAAGTGGCTCCATCTATTGGAGCGAATTTAAATTATTTGGACTTCGTTCATTTTGTTTTTGTTTTCTCATTTATAATTTATTTGTTCATCTTTATTTTCTTAATTATAATCTCGTTTTCTTATTTGGTCATTTTTTTGTTGTTGATTGTTGATTGTTGTTTTGGATGATTATATTATTAATAACTGTTATCGGTCAATGGATGGAAGAGGAATTGTTTGTTTTAGATGAAAGTTATTAATTTAGGTAAAGATGTGTTTGGAATCAAATCCGTTACCAGTTGATTGGATTGAGATCATCTCTTATTTGGGGATTAATGGAGCCTCTTTTTTTGGATCTGTGGATTAGAGTTAACTTTTGTTTTTCGTTCAAAGTAAATCATATTCCATTTAATTATTTGTCAAGGAGGAGAATAAGATGATAAATATTGACACATATTTGGAAATAATGATATGATGACTACACAAAATGATGAGAAATATTGAAAAGATATATTCTAATCAGCAGAAAAAAAGAAGCAAGTGAAAGAGCGAGAGAGAAAGAGAGAGAGAGAGGGGGTGATGAAAGAGAAAGAAATAATCACATAGATATTAACTTCGTTGAACAATGAATGGGTGTTTGAGAGCCTCAGATGCTGTTAATCGTCTTTTCGGATTAGGTTCGAGAAGACGATTTAACAGATCAAATGCTGAATCGTCGATTTCTAATCTATTATTGCCTTGAAGTTGACAGCATAAAATTTTCAAATCGAGAGGTGGAATTTTCTTTGGACTTAGAGTAATGGTTCGATTTAATTCACGTGCCGCCTTGCAAACTCTTTTACTTCCTAGAATGGTGATCATTTGAGCGAGAGCAGTCATATCATCGGAAAATGTGCTGAAAAAAGGATAACGACGGGACAAAAGACAGGCCATTATTACACCGGCCGACCAAACATCGATGGCTGTTGTTTGCTGAAGATGTTTCAATAAAACCTCGGGTGCTCGGAATCCTCTAGTACCCGCTCTAGGAGCGGCCAGATCAGCTCTGTTTGAACAATTATTACAAATTTGATCTTTACTGTAACAAGCACATGGATTAGAGATGGATGAAGGTTTTAACATTAACTTTGGTGTCTTCATTTCAATCCTATTTGGTTCAATGATATTTTTTGGTGGTGTTTCAGGAATGATTAATGTATTATTTTGGTGGTGATGATTTAATTGATTAGAGTCTTTTACTGCACTTAAATTTCCGTGATTACCATTCATTCTATCGACTTTGATCTTTTTTGTTATGATGTTAGCATCAGCTGGGCTTGTGGTCATTGCTTCGTAAGTCCTTTTCTTAACCATTAAAGGATTTTTATTCATATCTTTACCTAAAAGAGCAAGATTGGTATTTGTCCTGGTCAAATCTTTAAAAACGGCTCTTGTATTGTTATTTTTGGGAGCAATTTGATGGAATTGTGATACTTGAGCACTGATTGCTTGTTTTCTCAGATACTTTTCATCCTCAGCAAGTCCAAAATCTACCAGTCCATATAATTTTAATTTTCTATTGAACAAAAAGTTGCTTGGTTTAATGTCACGATGGATGATACCATGTTTATGCACTTTCTCCAGGGCGATGAATAGATTTTTCATGTAATCACGAATCTCACAGGAAGTCATATCTTTGAGTATATCAACAAATCTATCATGTCGAAAATAGGGCATCACAATAACACTGAACCCATTGCCAAATAGGCAAGTTTTAACACCGATAACGTTAGAATCCCCACCAAGGTCTCGTAAATATCTAAGCTCATCAGCTACTCTATCCCATTTCATTGTCGGGACAATACATTTCAAAGCATATTCTTTAGTTGGATCTTTGATTAATTTGGCCCGATAGACTTTGGAGAAAGTTCCTTCTCCAATTTTCTCTCGAAGGGTAAAATGCTTGGTCAATTCAGGAATAGATTGTAACAGGAACCTTGGAACTTGACAATTTTCACTTTCAGGAGAAGCTAAATTAAACAAAGGAAAAAAAGAACAAGAGAAAAATATGATAAGATTAAGAGAAAAAACAATATAAAGGCACATAGAAAACAGATAAAGAGAGGGAAAACCAGTAGAATGTCAACCACTAAGACCACCGAAAATATCAAAATTTCTCTCTCTCTTTCTCTCAACAAGAAAAACAGGAAAGGTACACTTACATTTCTCAACCCGAACAGAGGTAAAATTAGATGAACAATTAAGCACAAGACGGGAATTAAGTGCTGGTGTTTTAGGAATATCCATAATTGAATAAATAATATCAACAGGTAGCACATAAACAAATCTAGAAATGAGTTGTTAACAGTGAGCGGGCTTTTAGTCAACTGAGAAACCGAATCCTAGTAACCGGGAAAGCGTCGAAATTGAATTAACCGCAGCTGGAGAATCGCATTTGCGCATGCGCATGCGCAGACTCTCCGCTTTCTCTCTTTTTTCTTTTCTTTTCTCTATCAAAATGGTTCATTTCCATTCCGAACCCAAACAAGTGGATTTATCCTCAGGTCATCAGGTCAGCGGGAAAAAGATCACGCGGGTAAAGTTCAATTTCTTGTTACCCTTTAACCTTTTTTATTTTGTCTTTGAGAATCTGTTTGTCTTCCTTTGTGTTCCTTGTTACTAGAGTAGAAAAAAAATGATTTGTCGATTGTCTCTAATTTAGAAATTCCATTTGGTGTCAATTTCTATTTGGTTTTAATTTTTTTCTCTTTTTTCTTTTTTCATATTCGAAGGGGAAGTGAAATGTTTGCATAGAAAAATTCATCTTTGTCGATGCAAGGTAGTTTTCTGTTAGAATTTCATGTATTCGAAGTTGGAATTTCCATTCTAATTTAGTTTCAATTAGTTGACAATCTCAATTCTAATCTCTGAATACTAATGACCTTTTTTGACCTCAATTCAATTTTGAAATTCTTTTTTTTAATTGTTTCTTGAAACTACTGGACGTTTTGTGGAGCAGTTGATCGATTCGAATTTTTTAATTAATCAACCAATTTGCCTAAAGTCACTTGAAAGATGCTTTTGATGAATTGAAAGAGTTTTTCTAGTCTCTTCTTTGTGTTAATCAACTTTAGGTGATTTGATCTAATACATTTAATTGGATTCCATAGATTATTGTGTATGAATTACTTGTTTAGTTTTTGGGAATTTGATTGTAAAAAATGAGATTACAATTTAATTTAATATATAACCGAGCCATAAATAGCAAAAATATTCAAAGGATTTTAGATTAATTTGTGAAAATTAATGAGCAGAGAAATCTGGAGAAAAGTAAAATAATAGAAAACGATCAACAAGTAGCACACATACAGAATAATGAAAGAGAATAAACAAATCCTAGAAATGAGATGTGAACGGTGAATGGGCTTTAGTCAAGGCAATAGCAAATCATTCTCTCGACGATTTGCTAACTCCTCATGGGGGTATGAATTCCATTCACGACTGTACGCTTCATCATAGACCATGGAGACCAATTTGTAGTGTCGTTTAATGCTCTCCATATCATGAGTAGTCGATCCAAGATCCCGAAAATGATCAATATTTGTTTGAAGGAAATGCCAATTGATCGGAATATGATCATCACGGGCGTAAACAAGTAGTAAATACACAATTTGATGCTTGTTGAGTACTTCATTCATTTTGCGACTCTGCAAGATTTTGTAAACTGAGAGAGCAATTGAAGATGAGAAACGGGGAGGTTTTGGGGTAGGTTTAAGTGAAGGTTTAAGGGAAACTTGTGACATTGGAAATCAAAACAGTAAAGTGAGGTGAAAGAGAAAGTGATTTAAATAGGTAAGAATCTGTTACATCAGGAAAAGAAACACTTCTTTGTCCTCAAAAAGAATCGAATCGAATCGATTCGATCGATTAATAAAAAATCGAGAGAGAGAGAGAGAGATGAGTGAGTAAGTGAGAGAGTAAGTTTGGTAAAAATTGACAGAATGACAGAGTAAATCAGTGGGTTGAATGAAGTTTACACCGAAAGGGTGGGAGTTCAGGTTAATCTAATTGAGCGAAAAGTTAAATTATCTCGAGAATAATCAAATTAAAATTTAAATCAAGTTACAATTATGACAATTGATTCAATTTCTGTCATGACAATTTTTATCCAATTAGTTGATTGTTTCATCCATCAACTGAATGTAAATAATATTCATCTTGATAAGTAATTAGTTAATAAACAAATAATTATAAAGGTTTGAATTAGCATTTGATTCATGTTGATTAATTGTAATCAAACATCTAATTAACATGTTCTACCACAATTAACTAATTAACTCTTATTAGGGATTAGCAAGTCTGGGTGTTACTTTATCGCCTGGTGATTTATTATTGTTAAAAGTAAGTTAATCAAATTGTTGTTTAGCTTGATGACAATTTAATTTTATCGCCCCATTCATACAATTAACATTCATTCATTTATTTTTTCTCATTCAATTAACTTTTTTTATTACAATTAAATTGTTGATTTATTTACTTGTCATTATCAATTTATACTTATTATTATTTTAGATTGTAAATTTAATTCCGTTGTTAATTTTGATTTGTTTTTCTTATTATCATTTTTTCCTTCCTTGATTGTAATTTGTTTACTTAATTATTTACAATTTGCAATAATTTTGATTGATTTTTTTTTCGTACTCTTAATTGGGTTTAATTAACTGTTAATTGTTTCTTAATCATCCAAAGGGTGAACCTGGTAATGCTGGTCCACCGGGTCCCCCTGGTCCTCCTGGTTTAACTGGATTACCTGGTTTTGATGGCAGAATAGGTAAGTTAATCATTCAATTAATTAATCATTTAATCATTTGATCAAATTTACTTTGATATAAAATTTTCAAATTAATCAAATATTTCATCATCTTGATAATCAATGTTGAAAAGATTAACGTTTATGTCAATGAACTTGTTTCATTAAATCACTAGTTTCAAGATTATCTCTTGGATTATCATGATTAACTTTTAATTTTTACCTTGTATTTAGTTTTTTTTGTGGTTAATTATCATAATCAACAATCAAATTAACATTATCTTTTATTGATTATATTTCTCTTGTTGTTTTTTTTACCTCTTACCTTTGATAATATCTAATAGGATCTCCTGGTGAACCGGTAAGTTGATTATTTCAAGTTAAATTGTTGAGTAAACCTTTTGAGATTGATGATCAATACTTGAAAAGTAATCAACGTAACAACTTAACACTCACATACACAATCAGTTGATTGATATTGTATTGAAATTGCCTTTCAATTGAGTGTATTAATTTAATTTAATATACAACTGAGCCATAAATAGCAAAAATATTCAAAGAATTTTAGATTAATTTGTGAAAATTAATCATTTAAAGTTGACAATTGAAATCGTTATGAATTTTTAAATATTGTTTCATGTAATCTAGATGATAAATTGATTACTCTCCGTTGATTAAGAACAACTTTATCTGGTTTAACAATATAGATTTTAACAGCAACCGCTCGTTTAATAATATGTCCAAGTGTCGCCAAAAAATGCCAACAAGCTAAACCATCAGTGATAATCCTGTCAACTCCACTCTTTGTATTTGGAACTGATTTCAAATCTTTTTTTCTAATCTCACCACAATCGACTGAAGATGAATCAATTGTATCATTTTCTTGTAAACTTGATGATGATGAAGATGAAGTGTTGATTTGTTTACCATTTTTACCATTGAAAACAGCCACCGATCCAATAACTAGTCCATAAATCGTTTGTAAACTTGATTGTAAAGTAGAAAGAAGACCATCCAAAATTAACATGTCGACAATTAGAACAGTTAATCCTTAGAATGACAAAAAAGTCACAATTTCACTGAAGATAAAAACTGTATCACCAAAATCAAAAGAAAACTCCAACAATTAAAACCAAAGAAATTAAATAAAACGACGAAAAATTGTGATAACCGAAACGAATAGAATTTGATTTTTACTTTTGATTAAGTAACGATTTTCCTTTTTATTTCCAACTATTATATCACCAAAAAGAAAAGTAAATTAAATAACAATCGATCGATCAAAAATCTAAATCACAATTAAATAGAAAAGAGTAACAATTTGGTTGTGTCAATGAGAAATTAGAAAAGAAAATAAATTCAAATGTTCTTTCTGATTCTCTGTCGCTTTTAGAATGCGAAACAAAAAAGAAAACACTTTTCATCTTCTCTTTGAAACTTTCATACAGGGAATCCCATCAAGTTTCCAACAAGTTTTTCTTGAATAACTTTTTTGTTTTTGAATGTTCAGACTCGAGTTATGGTATTTAGACCATACTCCATTGTCATATTGAAATATCAAGGTCATTCCGGTCATTTTGTTAGGATACAGTTTCAAGGTCATTTGATGATCACAATCGATTTAAATTTAAAAAACCAACATGAGCCTAAATCACAAAGATTTCTCATGCTTTACTGTTTTGATTTTTAAACTGTTTCAATGTCACAAGTTTCCCTCTTTGTCCTCTAAAAGAATCGATCATCAAATGACCTTGAAACGGTATCCTAACAAAATGACCGGAATGACCTCGAATCTGGGGTCTGAACACACGAAAACAAAAAGTTATTCAAGAAAAACTTGTTGGAAACTTGGTGGGATGCCCTGTAGAAGATGATTAAGAAAACGACTTGTTAATTACTATTAATAAGATTTACCAAAGAAATTAAAGTAACTAAATTGTTAGAGAACATGTTTACCTTGGAATTTTAATCAAAAATCAAAGAATCGATTTATCTCACAATTTTCATCCAATTTTAACCGAACCTCTTGTTATTTATTTCTCCCTTTGAACCCGATGAACCAGTTTTCGTTTTGTTTACCATTTTTCAAGCTGATTTTCTGGTTCTAATCTCTGGTTACCTCAATCTCATGATTGAATAAAGAAATAAATAAATAAATTATCAGGTAAATCAACAAATTACCAACGTCAGTGACCATCATCATCATCATCATCTCTCCATTGATGTAATACAAAATGGATTCAACAATTTTCCCGTAATCTTAATGAGCCTTTTTACGGTTTTCATCCATCTCTCAATTTACTTTAATCACTTTAATCTATTGAATTACAATTAAATTCAATCTTCAGATAACTCGGGACATTGACAATTAAGGCAAAATTCCAAGTAATTGATGAAACATTTTCTTTTGCATCACCAATTTAAAAGATGCGCCTTCATCCATAGTCAATGAACTTGCTCTTTCTTTTTCTTTCTTTTCTCTCTCTTTTCTTTCTTTCTTTTCTCTTATCCTTCTCTTACCTTAACAAGAATGATTTTGATAAAAACGTAAACATTGCTATTGGATTTTTCTCTTCTCTATCTCTCATTTTTTTTTCTATTTTAATTGTTATCCCCATTTGATAAATTCTTCATTTTTATTCTACAATTTTCTCACTCTACTGGTTTACAGTTTTAATAATTTTGTGTCTAAAATAATGTTAACCCTCTATGTTTGCTCTAAAACTGTTTCTCTAACCTCTAATGAAACCGTTAAATTGGATCTTACACAACAAGATGATTCTTGTAATGATAATAATAAGTTGACTGTTGATAATTTAATGGTTGCCATTAAAGAGAAACTTTCACTTACTGGTTCCATTGAAGACTATCAATTGGTTTGTTATGGTAAAAAATTGAAAGGTGATAAACAATTGTCTCATTATGGAATTAAAAGTAATGCTGTTGTTCACCTATTTCTTAAAAGTATTGAAGAGCGAACTTCTGATAGAAAAATGGACGATTCTGATTCTAAAGGTAAAGGAAAAAAAGCTAAATTTGAAAATTCACCTATGGAAATGGAGGTGGAACTTCATACTATGGCAATCGCTTCTAAAACTGCTCTTATGAATAAAAGCTTCCGTCAAATGTTATCCCGTCTCCTTGAGGCCGATTTCCGTAATAATCTAATCCAATGTACTCCAGGCCTTAAAGACGATCTTATTGCAATTGGTATGATAATTTTAACTGATCGAATCATTTTTTTTTGTTCTCTCTCTTTTGTTTTTCTCTAATGTGTTTATTTTTTTTTGTTCTCTCCTTATTTTAGCTGCTCTTCATGATGCTGAACTTTTATCCATGTTATTAGATTCACCAACCATTAAAAAGGTTTTAGATAAACATCCAGCAATTTTAGAAGCAGCTACTCATCTAGCAACTGCTTTTCATGAAGAAAACGCTACATCCGGTGGTCGTGTCTTACCTTCAGCTATGGCTGTTGATTCATCACAATTTATCTCCTATTCATTGGATGATTTATCTGAAGATGATGATATGACTGGTGGGGTGGATGCACCTCCACCAAATGGTCAACATGTAAGGTCACCAACAACAGTCTCGGCCTTTGCTGATCTAATTCAACAAGCAATTTACGCCAGAAGAGGAAGAGCAGGAGAGCCCGGAGGATCACAACAAAGTTCATCTTCGCATCCACCAACTCCATCCTCAATTTCATTACCCCCTTTCCATACAACACCCCAACTATTACAGCAATTTCAATTAGCACAATTACAAGCACACCACCAACATCAGCAGCAACAACAACAACAACAACAACAACAATCATCTCAACAACAAACTCAACAACCTCCTCAAGTTGGTAATAACAGTGGAATCATTGATTTTGAAATGTTACGACGTGCATGTCAATTAACTGAACCTTCAACAAGTCAACAAGGAAACAATTCCAGTACATCTTCAGTCTCAAATCCTCTTTCTGGTCAATTAGGTGCTACTGCCACTCCACCCCAACCAACACCACAAGCATCATCAGCACCACTATTACAATCAACTCAACAATCACTTTCTCGCAGTGACATGTCCCATCAAATTGGTCAGATGAGAGAGCTTGGATTAACTGATGAAAACGTTTGCCTTCAAGCTCTTATTGCAACAAACGGAGATGTTCAGGCTGCAGTAGAATTAATTTTCAGTGAAACTTTCCACTCTTAAACAAAACTTTACTGTAAAATCACTTATCCCATATTTACTAAAAATCATTTATTAAATATTTTCAATCAATCAAATCTAAATTGTTTATCTGGACGAGTTCAAAGTGGGACGTATCATCACAAATCCTCCGATGTCCGAGCTTAGACAAGCATTTCTCGATTCAAATCCACGATAAATATCAAACCAGAAAATGAAAAACAATCGAATAAATCACAAAAAAAATCTAAATAGAAATTGAAAAATGAACAATTAAATTAATTGAATTAATTTCTATCAAATTTAAATTCACAATTTAATTGACAAAAGTTCGATGTATCGATGTATCGATCTTGCATTTTCTCCATCGCTTCAAATTCATGACAAGTTGTTGTCAACAATTTTCATTTCATCTATTGAATTGGTTACTCTTAATCTCGATTAGTTTATTTCCTTAAATCTTTCTATTCTTTTATTAATTATTGAGAACATTAACTAATTAGACAATCAACAGGTCCTTCAAAATGGCGGTAAGTAATAAATTCCATGTAAATCATAAGTTAAGTTTACGATATTTGATTTGCTTTTTTGTTGCTCTTTTCTCATTCCTGTTTCGGTTTTCTTATGGTTTGGTTTTTTAATTGTTGATTGAATTTTCTTTTTTGTTAATTATGCATTTTTGTTGATTCACAGAAAACGGCAACTAAAGGACAGAAACAAATTCTAGAAGATAATAAGAGTACAATCAAATTGTACTTGGGTATCTCTTCAGTTTCTCTGGTAAGTGTTGAATTTTTATTCTTTTCTTTTTACCTTAAACGGTCTCATTTACTAATTGAAATGTTAATTCTATTTTTAATTTTCTTTTTGACCAGATTACTTATCTTCTCGTAACATTCATATTCTTTTTTCAACAATTTACTTTTAGATATATGGTAAGTGTAGAGTCATAAATGAGTCAACCTTTCAATTGTTTTTTACTCTAATTTGGTTGTCTCATAGTTTCTAATACAATTTTCTGTTTCAATTTTTTCTTCTTTTCAATGTTCCTTGATAGTTTTTTACATTTCTAACAATAATCATTTATATTGGAGCAATTGGTTTCATGAAATTCATGGCTCAACCCTCATACTCAGAGACAGGATCCCTAGTTGATGGAGGGCTTGATCTTAACATGGAAGCCGGAATGGCCGAGTAAATTAACCTTCTTTCTAATCAATCTTTTAATCATCTGCAAACAATTAAAATCTCCTCTTTATTTCCAGATACGCCAAAGATATTGTCATATTAACTGCTGGTGTCCAGTTATTATCACTAATCTCTAATTACTTTATCCTACTATGGTTTGCGGTGAGTTTTCTGTTGACAATTGTTTCGATTCAATCAACTAATTTGTATGTTATCGTCTTAATAATAACAATTTTTTCTATTCCCTTTTCTAGGCTCCTGGTTATGCTTCTTATCTGATTTGGGTCAATATTCTTGGACCATGGATATTTGCTCCAGCCCCTGAAGAAGGGCCAGTAAATGAGAAGAAACAGAAGAAACTTGATAGAAGGATGAAAAGAATGCAGTAATCAAAAGAGAATTATTTTCTAAGGCAAAAATTAAATAGACAAAACAACTAACGAAAAAAGTAAACAGAAAATTAAATCTTCAATCGTGATTAAGGTTTTTAAACCTTTTGTGTTTACCAAATCAAACTGTCAACATTTAGACTCCTTTCTAAATGCTATGATAACTTTTAGAATCTTTGATTCTCTTTATTAATCTTTCAAGTCCTTTAAACTAATTTAAAGTGTTAACTTGATTTGCTATTCTATTGTTAAAGTGATTGTGTTCCATCATCATCATCATCGCACCAAAAACATTTTCTCTTTCGTTTAAAATATCTTTGAGCTTCGCTAATCATGGGTAATGTTCAGGAAGCTGCTGAATCGGTTAAAAAAAGTGAAAGTAAATCAAGACAGAACAGTAATCAACATCAAACTAGATCAACATCCAATTCACCTGTAAGAAAAGTGAAAAGTGGAACTTCATCTAAATCAAGTAATCCATCATTAGAATCACTTACTGTTAAATCAAAGGAATCAAAAGTTAAGAAAAAGTCTAAAGAAAATGTGAAGAAAAAATCAAAAACAAAATCTAAATCCAAGGAAAGTGTCAAGTATGAGAATTGATGAACAATTTAATTTCTATTCTAAATTTGATATCAACTAATCATAAGCATTTTTTTTTCTCCATTTTTCAAAATTCTATTAGATCAAAGAAAAGCAATTTGTCACTATTACGACACAAGAGCGAGTAAATATCATTTCTAATTGATTTTCTTATTATTATTTCCTATTCAACAATTAGTGATTTTCTGTGAATGTGTTTTAATTGTTACAAAGGTCAACCAAAAGGCATTTCCAGTGTAATCAGTTGATTGTGGGGGAAAAAAGACAAAAAAAAACAAGTAGACGAAAACATCAGGAATTGAAGGTTATTAAAATGCTCATGAATTGGTTTAACAATCAATAAAATCTCACAGAGTTAGCTTGATATTTAAAGGTGTAATTAATAGCATTATAAACAAATGATTAATCAAAAATCTCAAGTTGATCACAATCAACAATCTCAACACGTAAATAGATGTACAGACATAAAATTTACACCAACAGACAAGAATTAAGAAATCACATACAACCAGAATTATTTACATCTAAATGAATCTGGACAATTAGATGATGACGATGATTAAATCAATGATAATCAATAACAGGAACAAAAATTGAATCTCTAATCAATGAAGTTTGATGTTAGTTAACCAAATATAAGAACCGGTGACCGGTTAAAGTAGCAAAAGAAAATTGATCAACACAGAACAGAATTAATCGTAATCAATAGTAGCTAGTATATTAATCGTGAATTGAATTGATTGTTAAACATTGAATGAGAAAAAAAGAGTAGGAAATAGTTAATTAATTGTGGGAATTAAATGAAAACACAATCAGAAAAATGACCTCACAAGAATCAAAGTTACATCAGGAAAACAAGTGGTTTCTATGGAAACGCCTCTTTGCCCTCTAAAAGAATCGATTTTCTCTGTCTACTTGTCTGTCTATTTTTCGTCCCCCAGTCTCATAGATTCTCTCACTTATTAACATTTTCACTTTCATGTTTTCTCCTTGAACGTTAATTGTTGTTACTTTTGTTTTCTCCTCATCATGAGTGTTTATGTTTGATTGTTCAATTTATTAGATAATTTAATTGATAATTTTGTTCTTCTCTCTCTCTCTCTCTTTTACTCTGGTTGTTTTTGTTTTTCTCTTCTAACTAATTGACAATCTATTGGTCTTTTTCTAGGATTACTCTATATTCACCAGAGTATTTCGGTAGTGAAGGAATGGAACCACCAAATCGTAATGTTGGCTCTAAAAAGAGCATCGGTGTTTTCACCAGTGGTGGTGATAGTCAAGGTATGAATTCTGCTGTTCGAGCGGTTGTACGAACAGCACTTTACCTTGGGTGTAAAGCTTATTTCATTAAAGAGGGTTACCAAGGTATGGTTGATGGTGGTAGTTATATTGTTGAAGCTTCTTGGATCTCCGTTTCGGGAATTATTCATAAAGGTGGTACTGTTATTGGTTCTGCTCGATGTTCAGAATTTCGTGAGAGACCAGGTCGTCTTAAAGCTGCTAATAATTTGGTTCAACTTGGAATCACTGATCTGGTTGTTATTGGCGGTGATGGATCGCTTACTGGTGCCAATCTATTTCGTCAAGAGTGGACATCACTTATTGATGAATTATTATCAACAGGGAAAATTACTGAAGAACAAAAAGCAAAATGTATCCATCTTAATGTCGTTGGAATGGTTGGTTCAATTGATAACGATTTCTGTGGAACCGATATGACCATTGGAACAGATTCTGCTCTTCATCGAATTTTAGAATCAATCGACGCCATTGTTACTACTGCTTCTAGGTCAGTTTTAGCTTTTTTTCCTCTCTCTCTCTCTCTCTCTCTCTCTTTTTCTATTTTTGCACTTCTCCATCAAATAGAGAGTATTTTTTATCTTTTTACTTATGTTTGTTTCTCTTTTTATCTTGTAGTCATCAGCGAACTTTTATTCTTGAAGTTATGGGTCGACACTGTGGTTATCTTGCTTTAGTTGCTGCTCTTGCTAGTGAAGCTGATTTCGTTTTCATCCCTGAATGGCCACCGGAGAAAAATTGGCCAGAACGTCTTTGTAGAAAATTGCAACAAGAACGTGAATTGGGCCAACGATTAAATATTTTATTGGTTGCTGAAGGAGCAATTGATCGTGATGGAAATGCCATAACTGCTGAATTAGTGAAAAAAGTGATCGTCGATAATTTGAAACAAGATTCACGTATAACCGTTTTAGGTCATGTTCAAAGAGGTGGTAGTCCAAGTGCTTTTGATCGTATTCTTGGCTCTCGTATGGGAGCTGAAGCTGTTCTCGCTTTAATGGATGCTACTCCCGATTCTGAGGCTGTTGTTGTTTCACTTGATGGTAATCAAGCAGTTCGAGTACCTTTAATGGCTTGTGTTGAGAAAACTAAATCTGTGGCCACCGCTATGGCTGAGAAACACTGGGAACAAGCGGTTAAACTTCGTGGTCGCTCATTTGAACGTAACCTTGAAACTTATAAAATGTTAACTCGTCTTCGTCCACCAAAACTATCAGAAGCTGACCTTCAACAGCACGGCTTTAAAGTAGCAGTGATGCACATTGGAGCTCCATGTTGTGGTATGAATGCCGCTGTTCGATCATTTACTCGTAATATGATCTACCGTGGGGACACAGTTCTAGGTATCAATGAAGGAATTGACGGACTAATTGCTGGAGATGTAAAACAAATCCATTGGAGCGATGTAACTGGTTTAGTCGCTCAAGGAGGTGCAGTATTGGGCACCCGTCGAACCCTTTTCGGTGAAGGAGACAATCAGGCTAAAATTGTTGAGAAAATTAAAGAATTTGGAATCCAGGGATTACTTATTATCGGTGGATTTGAAGCTTTTCATTCAGCAATTCAAATGGCCAAAAGTCGGTCCAAATTTCCAGCACTTAATATACCAATTTGTGTTGTCCCTGCAACTATTAGTAATAATGTACCTGGTTCAGAGTTTTCTCTTGGTGCCGATACCGCTGTCAATGAAATTACCGAAATCTGTGATCGAATCAGACAATCAGCTCAAGGTACCAAAAGAAGAGTGTTTATCGTTGAAACCATGGGAGGTTATTGTGGTTACCTGGCCACTCTCGCTGGACTTGCCGGTGGTGCCGATGCTGCTTACATTTACGAGGAAAAAATTACCATTAGAAATTTAATGGATGATGTTTATCATATGCAATCAAAAATGGAAGAAGGAGTTTCAAGAGGCCTCATTTTAAGGTTTACAATTTAACTGATTACTTAATTAACCCTTTAGGCTATTTTCAAATGGCAGTTTACAATTTTCAATCAATATTTTATGTGCTTCCATTAATTTTTGCATATTAATTATTTTTTATATTCTTTCTGTTTTTCTAGAAATGAGAGTGCAAATCCAAACTATTCAACAGACTTCATGTATCGGTAAGTTAGCAGCTTAATTGTAATCTAATCTCTCATTAATTATTCATCTTTACTATAAAATTATCTATGGTTTTATGTTTCTTCTAATTGGATTTATTAATTGTTTTCTTTTTCCTGAATAGACTTTATTCCGAAGAGGGAAAAGACAAATTCACAACAAGAATGAATATCTTAGGCCATATGCAACAAGGAGGCTCACCATCACCTTTTGACAGAAATTTGGGAACCAAAATGGCTGCTAAGGCTGCCGATTGGTTAATCTCTCAAATAACAAGCGGCAATTCAGCATCTCGAGACTCCGTTGCATTATTAGGTTTAATAAGACGACAATATAAATTTACTCCTGTTCTTGATTTGGAAGCTGAAACTGATTTCAGGTAAATTCAATTGAGACAATTTATCAGTCAATGTTTCGTATATAATTTTTGGTCTATTTTATCATTCTAATTGAACTTTTTTTCTTAATTATAGTCATAGGATCTCCAAGAAACAATGGTGGCTCAAACTCCGACCGCTTCTTCGTATGTTGGCTCAACATGATTCAAGCTACGAGAAGGAGGCTGAAGTTGGTCCCGCTGAACCTGAAGACATAGAATTCCTCTAATAATTGTTTTCTTTTTTGTTTTTTTCTTTTTCCACCTTCCCTCTCCCTCCTGTCACATACAATTCACAAACACACACACACGATTCACAATCACACGCTCACACCCAATCATCATCACCAACCAATCTCACACACTCATCATTCACCATCGCTATTAGATTTATACCTAATCACCTTTGACTCTCTATTGACAACACTAAATATTTATGTTGTGCTTAATCATCACTAAACAATCCAAATGCACACATTAAATTGAGATAATCCTTCCTTATTTTGGTCCCAATTGTCATGAGATATACAGGGAAGAGAGAAATAATATCTATTTCTCTTGCGACAATATTTTTCTTCAACGTTTCCGCTTCCATATTCTTAAGGAATTAAGGTGTTGTAAGAAACTATCTATATATCTATTGAAAAATCAAGACCTCCAAATTGTCCTTCCTTCTCTTGCTAATTACTATCGTTGTTATAACAATTTAGCTTCTATTATTTCACCTCATGCATGGTTATCAATCTATGATATTACCAAGTGAACCGCTCATTATGTTTCATATTCACATATTTCCACCCATATAGACACAATCCTTTGCTTTCTTAATGATTGGCAAGTATCGTTTCCAATTAACTAAATCATCCAAATCCCCATCATCATTATCATCATCTTTTCATTATCAATCTCTCCTGTTTTCCTCACCTCTATTTTCCTCCTGTTAATTGTCCATAAATTAATTTAAATTGATTTAATTTATTGCTAAAGTTATAAGGTGTTTTCTACCTTATCTAATTAATTGTTATCCATAATTTTTATCAATCTCAGCAATTTCCCATGATTACTATAACTATTATACTCTAATTATCAATTTAACTATCATTAGTTGATCAATTCCCCTTAATCTCCTCAATGATTTAAACAATTAACAAAGAATCAATGAAAATGATTCAGTGTGATCTTTTGCCATCTCCCTTTCAAATAATTTATTAACTATTAGTTTTGTTTTTCTGCTTAATTGTAACAAAAAGCATTAATGTTTTTAATACTTTAATTGCTGCAATTTATTTTCCTTGAAACAATCAAAATGTTTCCCCCATTTAATCAAATTACAATTTACCTTGATTGCTCTCTCTCTCCCTCTCTTTCCTAATCTGTAATATTAATTGTCTCTCTAATAATCCTAATTTATGACAAAAAAATATACTACAATTTGTTAATTTCTGTGTTAATTAATGCTGATTAACAGCAATCCAATTGTGAGATGAATTAACACAATATTTATAAACAGTAACAATTAACTCTCTTAACAATAAAACCTTAAAATAGATGTTTTCAAATTTCAAATCCTTGAGAATCTAATCAATCAATTAACACAATTAACTGATGAACAATTTTTTGGAGTATACAATTAACTCAATTATTATTAGAAATTAATTGTGATAACTTTTTGTTTTTCTCACCTTTTCTATTACAGAAACAATTAAATCAACAATTTAGCCTAATGATCAACATATATGATAATCCTGATTACAATTTAGTTTGGACAACAATTAAATACATTGGTGTGATATCAAAACAATTTAATCTTCAAAATTTTAAAGACAAAAACAAATTAATGTTAATCAATTAATCAAACATTAATTTTCAAATGATTTTAATGATAATCAAATCCAATTATCATTTAGACAAAACAATTATTAGAATAACAATAATAATAATAATAATAATAAAAGCATCACAACGCCAACGAATTTGTAAAAGTTCTCAAATTTTAACAATTAATTCTAATAATTAAATTAAGAGAAAAAAAATTTTCGAGAAAAAGAAAATTTAATTTTAGTTCTTTTTCCGCTCAACAGATGTCGCTCCTTGCAGGGAGTGATTTTGTTCCCAAATTGTGATAACAATGAATGGAAAGATGAGGAAAACAAGAGAGCCAGTGAGTGAGAGTGAGAGAGATGATGATGAGGATAGAAAATGATTCAAATGATGAGGAAGAGAAGTGAAGTAAACATGAGGAAACATTTGATTTTATTTAAGTGGATCTCATATCAACTTGAGACATTGTCAAGTAAACTTAACTTGTAACCATCAAGACTAATCGTCATCAAATGATAATCTGATCATCAAGTGATATTGTAAACAATTAAAATTCATTTTCTAATCAATTGTACATTTAATTATCGAAAAAAAAAGTTATCGTAGTAATCAAATCCTCATCATCATGTGTATCTCACGTCAATGTAAATATTGTTGTTGTGTCTCATCAACTAATTGGATTAATAATAACAATCATCATCATCATAATCACCGTAATCGTAAATCAAATCATAAATTTAACAAACACAACAATGGATTTAATAAATTTGTTAATCATAAATCATCACAATCTTCATCTTCATCATCGTTATCATTATGGTTAACATCATTAACCAAACATATTCAATTTAGTGTTGGTGAAATTTTAATCAAAATTAAATCTTCATTAAAATTAACTGGATCAACTATTGATGATAATAATCAACGAAAACAACATTATTGTAACAGTTTAACCAAAATTTATCTCATCATCATTTTAATCACTTTCAGTGTTTATGCTAATTCAATTCCTGGTGATTTCGTTCATGATGATATTGAGGCGATTGTCCGAAACCCGGATGTAATTGGAACCAACAATTGGTCAGCAATTTGGTTAAATGATTTCTGGGGTCGCCCAATGTCCGATCCCTTGAGCCATAAATCATATCGACCCTTGACCATCCTAACATTCAGGTAAGACAACAATCAGTTGAACAATTAAATCTAATCCTTCAAAACAAATTAATCCGACAACTCTTATTGATTAAAACCCTTTTCCTTAATTGTCATTTGTTTTTATTGTTCATCATCAATTGTTTATCAATGTAACAGTTTAACATTTTGATTGTGATGGTTTGAAAATAATAAATCTTAACTACTAATTGGTTTAATCAATTAAAATATGTTTTAAATTTGTTGATTGTTAACAATTAACTACTAATCCCAATTATCCAATGGATAATCAATATAAATGATTTTCAATACAATCACTTGGGTAAAGGAAAACAATTAATCAGATGATTAAATGTATTGATTGTGAATGATTATCTTGAGTTTGATTATTATTATCATCTTGATCTTGTTATTAATGAAGATGATTAATCAAAATTGATTTGAATTGTTGTGAAACAAAAATGTCAAATTGATTAATGAAAGTTAATTGTCAATATTGATGAAACTTTTTGTTTTCTTATTTCCCAAGTGAGAGATATGATCATTTTCTTGATCGTCAACAATTAGGTTCAAACTGACAACAATTAATTGTAACAATTAACCAAATAACACATACACACACACTCATTCAGATGAAATGATTCAGTTAATCATACATAACAATTGATTAACTAATTACATTAATCAATTAAAGTGAACCGATGAAAGTAACAAAAAGTAATCAAGTTAAAAGAAGCAAAAAAAAAACTCAATCAACATTTTTTTTTGCTGGTTTACTTTCATCGGGAAAATTAAACTACCACTAATTGTTACGCTAATTTCTAGTTAATCAATTAGTTGATTTAATTAATCAAATTAACCATTGGCAAAAAAAAGAAGTAAAAGTGATTAAACTAATTACAATTGACTTTTCCAAGTGATTAACACCAAGGAAAGAAAATGTAACTTTGAGAGTAACAAAGTTTTCGTTTGAAATTGAAAATCTTATTGGTAGATGAATGGGAAATTCTGATGATTGGAGATTCTTGAAACTTGAAATGGTATCGGAAATGATTCACCATGAAGAGGCTGAGGTGGAAATCCATGTATATGAGAAAATGTAATAATAATTCAATGGGAGGAAAAGGATGGAAGGTGGAAAAAAGAGAAAAAGTTGACGACAAGATGAATAATGCATCGGGTGGAAATTCGAGATTCATGTGGAAAAGTTTTATTCTTCTGAGAAACAGAATTTCGTCTGGAAATGATGATGAATTCTCTTGGAATGATACTTATGAAAGGAGAGAAAGAGAGATTGAAAATTTTGTTCTAAAAGAGAGAGAAAGAGAGAGGAGAGAGAAGAGAACAACTTGACAATAATCATAATACATAATGATGAATGAGAATTCACATGAGATAAATTCAGGGGAAATTCAGAGTGTGTTGAGACAACATGGAGAAACATAATGACAGTGATAACATTTCATGAGAGGTTTTGTTTTGGTTGTAGAAAGAAAGTAAATTTGTAAATAGAGAAGAGAGAAAATAATTTTCGAAAGGAGAGAAAACGAAAAATTTTCATTCGAATCAATAATGACAATAACCATGAAACTCATGGGGTAGAAAAAGACAGACAGATAGAAAGAGAAAAGTAATAATTATAATCATTGTGGAGGATATTATGAAATTCATGGTATTCAAAGATTACAGTTCAAGGTTAACTTTGAGTTACCAGAATTGAGATAAACAGTATTACTTTTCAGGGTGAACATGATAATTACTCATTGAGCTTGAATGATGATGATAATAATGTTAATGATGACAATATGTAATTGGTTCTGGTTAATTGTTGTTACTCATTCATTAATCAGAATCTTAATCTGTCTTCAGGATATTCCCTTTTCCATTTGGAGAGAACAGAAAAAAAGTAAGAGAAAATCACAGAATTATCTTCAATATTCATCTTCCATATCAGCTATTATCTCTCTCTCTCTCTCTCTCTCTCTCTGCTTTTATCATTTCTCTTTATCTTCCTTTTCTTTTGGTCAATTACCTTGAACATTTTTCATCATCATCAGTTGCTCATCCTCATTGTTTCCAATGTTAAAAGCAAAGGGAAAGATGAGGAAGAGAAAAAGAGAAGAGAGAAAAAAACTTGATGAACATTATCATCATCATCATCATCTCCCACTTCATCCTTTAGTTGTTTTCATCATCTCATTTATCCCAATAACTGCAATGATTGATAACCTAATAAGTGATCAAGTGATATATTAAAAAAAATCACATATTCCAATGAAAACAAAGATGAAAAAAGTTCAGAGATTTAGATAATGATGATTAACAGATTTATGGTGATGACACTGAATATGAGTCATGATGATGATGGTGATAAAATTTTCCCGCTTCTCTATGATAAGATAATGACATACTTTCTCTTTCTCTTTCTCTCATCACGATTATCATCTCTTCATCATTCTCAACATCATTATCATCTTACATGGTGAACTTTTTGTTCATTCCTCTTGATTGTTGCATATTATTCAATCATCAGATGAGATAAATCAGTTAAGAGAATCAACTTTATCTTCATCATTATCATCTCGCTCTCTCTCTTTCAACATCTTGACTCTAAATTTTTTATCATCATCATCTTAACCCACCATCCACCTTCCACCTTCCACTTTCCTCTTCTCCTCATCCTAGAAACCATTGTATTCATTTTATTTGAATTTAGATGAAATGAGAAAAAAATCCTCGAATCATCTTAACAATTTACTCTCGACTTTAATTAACTTTCACCTTTTATTATGTAGCCCAAAGTTAATTGAAAAAAACCAATTTTCATACAAATTAAACTCTCCACCTTATGAGTGAACAATTTAATTGAAACAATTAAGAAACAATTTAAATAATCATCAAGAGAAACAAATCAGAAATCCTTTAAATCCAATTTGATTCAGAAAATCAGCCAACTAAATGAAATAAGTTTCTCTCTCTTTTTTAGTATCAATTGAGTTTAAAAAAGTAAAACTTTTGACCCAATTTATAAATTGTGAGAATTTAATTTGATTGTTGATGATTAAAGATGAAGGATGATCAGGGAAAGGTGAATAAAAGTAAATGTTGGTGAAATATTTTGTTAACTTTTTCTTTTTCTTTCCAAAATAGAATCTTTGATTCAATGAGGGTTTCATATTATTCCAACTGAATAGACTAGACTTTTTTGTCAGAACTTTTTTCTTCTTTTTCTTTTCCAATTCTCTGTCCCATCTCCACATATAAGTAACCAGATTTTCATTCGCCATGTTTTCCCACCATCATTTTTATAATTCTTACGCCTAACAAATTGAGTTTCAATTGAAAGTTCGTACATGAAAAGTTATACAACTTATCGACTACAACAACAACAACAACAACTTGAGTCTCACTTTCAATCACCTTTTATCATCTGTTTTTTTCATCTTCAAACTAACATGATGATAATGATAACTGGAAATAGAGTAAAAAATTCAATCTTTTTTCCTGTGAATTCAATGAACCACGAATAGTAAACTTATGATTACTAAAGTGATTCAAATGTTTTACATGGAATCCAAAGGAGGAAATTGCTATCAGAATGAAATCTTTCAGAACTTTCTTAGGGAAAAGTTCACTTTTCGATATAATTCAAAATAATTTCCAACTTTTTTACTTCTTCCATTTCAATGATGACATTTTCCACCCTCATAATCATCAACATTAAGGACACACACACAGAGATTCACTTTAAAAATGAAATTTTGGAATCATGAATTGATAGAAATATCAGATTCAATTTGAAAGACGTAAAATTTCATGTAAATCATTTGAATATAATTCAAAATCATGATTGAAATTGTAACTCAATCCAAATGAATATTCAAAACATCGAGCAGATTTTAAGTTTACTCTTGAATAAATTACAGAGATAAAACCAATTGAATTCATTAATCATGATTAATTGAATGGATTATCACCAAGGGTAATTAACTTTAATCGTGATTAAGTGAAAACTTTCATTGGAAAAAATTTCAAACTACAGGGCATTTCACCAAATTTCCAACAAGTTTTTCTTGAATAACTTTTTTGTTTTTGAGTGTTCAGACTCGAGTTATGGTAGTTTAGGCCATACTCCGTTGTCATATTAAAATATCAAGGTCATTCCGGTCATTTTGTTAGGATACAGTTTCAAGGTCATTTGATGATCACAGTCGATTCAAATTTAAAAAACCAATATGAACCTAAATCACAAATCATCATCATCACCCAGATTCCCATGATGGAGTCCCTATCATGGATTCATATGAAAAAGATAATATAATTTAAACTCTCAATGTAATAACAATAAGATGAGTCACTAAATTTGTCAACAATAAAGACAAACAATCAATTTGAAATTAACACCTTTGTTGTTCAACAAAGTGGCTCGTTAATTTAGTTAGTAAATTGCTGAGTTAATCTGATTTCTTAAAGCGTGTGAATTAGTTTTGAATTGTTTCAATTTCATGGTGGGTGAAGGATGAAGATGAGGCAAAGTAAGAAAAAAAACTTCCTCAACAATTTAATCGGTTTTTTTTACTTCAAATTGGAAGATAAAAGTTTCCAAACTCATCATCATCAAGATCATTATCTCAACCTCATCAAGACACAGTAACAAGAACATGAGATAATTTACCCTGAAAATCCAATTCGAATAGGAGATTATCATTTAGAGAGAGAAAAAACGAAAAAATTTGTTCGAAGAATAAGAAAGTTCTAACCCTCAGTCGAAATAATTCCAATTCATTATTTGAAGAATAAAAAAAATACTTACCTTCTTTTTCCATGGTGCATGAGAAAGAGAAGGAGGAACATTCGGATTAGCATGAATCAATTTTTTTTCGAGTTCAAGTTCGATATATTATTTTCAATTCGAAACATTTATTTTCTTTTTTTTCTCTCTATTTTCTTATTCTTTTTTTATTTCTTATTCCTTACCATTCATCTCATTGAGTTCGAACTTTTCTCTCCCTTTTCATCCT